GCGGATCATATGATTTATAAATATACAGGGTGTCCCATTTGAAAAAATATAACTTTAGTTCATATTTTCAAAAATATTTTTCTCGTAGAAAAACAGACTACGCGACTGTATTCTACGTAAGAAGTTCTACAAGAATCAGTTTTCACCTTTTCAATATCATCCGTAATAACGGAGATGCGGGGGCTGTCCCAAATTGCAAAATTTTCGAAAAGACCCTGTAGCTCAGAAACGAAAAGAGCTATGAAAATTTTGTTGACAGCATCTCCCGGTTGACAAAAAAGTGGCACAGGTTTGTCCAAACCGCACCCTTCTATCTTCACGAATAACGGAGATACCGTATGATTTCAACCAAAATGGGACACCCTGTACAAATACAAATTTGTAATATTCCACAAGAATAAATAAAACAACATAAATAAAACAAACTATTTTATTAATAATAACACTTACCAAATTTTATACATTAACTTTGATCTTATTTTTTTTTAATAACCAGTACCTTTTGACATTATTTTTCTGCAGTACTAAAATCCACTATTTGTCTATCATGTGATATCGATACTTTACAGCTACTCCAGTAGTAGGTATATGTATATGTTTAGTATTTATACAATCCTTGTAGCATATACGAGATGCACTTATCTACGACGAGATGGTATACAAACTTTATTGATGGTAAATGGTAACTTTATTGGTGTATAAGACTTTCTGCCTTGGCAGCGAGTAATACCTACTCTACGAGTATTAACTATAAACTGTGCTCTGGGTCTACAGTTAATTTTCCCTCGATTTTTCCTCCACTTGACTTTAAAAGACACAAATCACGTAATGTATCATCAAAATGCATCATCTTCCAAATCCAAAACGCAGATATTTGACATAAGCTGACACAAAATTATAACCTAAAATTTGGCAAGACTTTGACAAGCTTCAAAACCCTAAAGGCGAGTTCATACGCATCGGCGTCCGTTTGTCGTTCATCGTTCCGTCAAACCAATAAAATTGAAATATGACCTGTCATTTTTGAAATAAACCAATAAAACCGGTTAAAAACAACAAGAGACGACGTATGACGGATTTATATTTAAACCCATCCATAGTTAACTTAAAAAATATTAGAAACTTTTTTTGTAGTAAAATAAATAGATTGGTCTGAGACGTCATATGCTTTTCTTCAAAACAGAGTTATAACTAGGCACTAATATAGCCACATTTTAATGCGCTTATAAATTTGGTGCATTCTCCGCCGGGGCTGCGACCATCGGAAAATACTGTAAACAGCGGACTAAACAAATCAAAGACATTATAAATATAGACCGAACATCTCATTCATAAATACTCGTTGGTAGTGTATCAAACATTCCAATGTGTCAAACAAGGACAGAAGAGACAGAGAAGTCTAAAATTTCCGACCCCGGCAACTAGGCGCATTTGGATTGTTCTAATGGCCAGTGGCGTATCGTTTTTTGGAACGAATTTAATTAGTAAAGTAAAAGTAAAGTAATTAGTAAAATGTTTACTCCATATTAATATACTACATTAACACTTTTTCGTCAGATGCGTTTTGTTATAAGGTCTAATATAATAATATAATTAATATCCCACATATACTTATGTTGAAACGTTAGTAGGTAGTTTTCGAAAATCGCTCCAACGTCGATTTTTAATTTAAACTTTCAGTTAATTCTATATAAACTTTCAGTTACTTTTGAATATTTATAGGGTGACTCAGGCTTCCGAAACAGTTCTATATTAGGTTTGTGGCTGGTGACTTTTCTTTCAATTTTTTTTCAGAATATGGAGGCAATGGTAAAGCACATTTTAGACATTTTTGTAAACATAGGTGGCCGGAACATATTTTCAAACTAAAGTTGTAGATTTGCCATTAAATTTCCAATCCAGAAATACCTAGGGTTGCCACCTGTCCTTTTTGAAAAGGACAGTCCTTTTGGAATAACTTGTCCTTTTGACTTTTTTTTACTTAAAAAGTCATTTTTATTTACGTATTTTCCCTGAGAAAATTATCTACAGCAAACAGAAATGTTATTTTCGTCCAAATTTAATTAGAGATGTTATAAAACTTATAAATAAATTTTTCTTGTTTAGAATAGGCAACATTATTTAGAACTTCCCGTTTAATCTCAAATGATAATTTAGGTTTTAGTTTTACCTTTTTTGATCTTAAAAAGAACTTTTTAAAATTAGCAATTAGTAACGATTTAGTTAGTTCGCAATCGATAGCTTCCTGTAAAGTACTATGTAATAGTTGTTTAATCTTGTATTATTAATAACTTCCTATACCTAAAATCAATATTTAATGAGAAAATTGTGTTTTTTTGAAAATATAAGACAAGATTTGACTCTTTCGGTCTTCTTCTTGTATTATGATGGCTCTGATACGAGGCAATTACCTTTTAGTCTCTCAATAGAAGGCATTTGTTGTTAGAAGGCAATTTATCATTAAAAGTATCAAATCTGTGTGCTACAGTATGGGATTTCTGTCGCATAATAATAAATATTACGTTTATTTACAAATCCATTACTTTTAAAGGTAGCTTCATCAGACAATCAAATTTTAGTTAAATGTCCCAATCTTCATGAACTGTATAAAGCATATGTATTGCGGTTTGAATCACCCTGTATGTTGACAAAAATATTTTGAAAATGTGCGTTACAATGGCCCCCATCTTATGTAAAAAATTGAAATAAAAATTACAAACCAAAAACGTAATAGGTAAAAAGCTTTTTTGGAGGCCTGGGTCACTCTGTATATAGGTATGTATAAAACTAGTAGCCTAAGAATTATTTCCAGTTCGTCCCATTCTAAAAAAAAGATAAACACACCGTACAAATAACTCTAGGAAGAGGTATTTGTACGGTGGTAAAAAATTGTTTAAACGAGGCCGAAGGGGCAGATATAATAATGCAATAAAATGTAAAAAAGGGCGGGTAAACACCTTTGTTTATATGTTGAGCAAAATTCCTTTAGAATATCGTATATAATGACCAAAATATGATGCAATTTTAAGAAAAAAAATGTCACTTTCTGGCTTATAATAAAGTTTCAAATGCAACGTTTATATTCAAGTTTGTTATGATCTACAACAGTTAAGTAGTAATTGAGACGAATTATAATTCAATTACCGGCTACTACGTTCTTGTTTTAATAGCTCAAAATTCAACAAATATAATTAGAAATTATTTTAATTGTGAGAGGCTCCTTGTGGGACGCCTATGTACGGCGATTACGGCGCGGCGGAAACAATACCTACCTGTGAAGAGACAAATTCGGGTAATTTGAGCTTATTTTTCCACACATTTGACACTGTCGTACCATATTGAAAATTCGCAGATTCAAAAGTACGTTAAACAAAAGCAAAAACTACTGAAAACACTGAAAAGTTCACTTCAGGCTTGATTCCGACTGCAAACATACCGTAAGCTAAACGTAGTACGCTATAACGGACCAAGGGCCGTCGCGAGGGGTGGTGGGACGGACGGCTCATTTCATTCTGGAAGACTAGCAGCGACGTTGCCAATAGTTCTAGACGTTTCAGCACATTAAACAGTAAACATGTCCTTTAATAGTAACGCATATATCCTCTGGTTAATAACATATTATTACGCATGCTTCTTTAAAAATAAACTATTAATTTAATTAAGAAATTGAGATTTATTGATATCCGGTAAAGGTTTTAAAGTCCCCTTTTCTGCAAATTAAACTAAGTAGATAGGCGCAAATTTGAGATGTGGCAATGTCGCCTTCTCTATCTCAGTTGGTTTTTACAGTACGTAGTCAACCTCCGATTGTTTGATCGGGTTAAAATGTCTAATGTGATATCTGTTCTTACTAAATCTATGAAACAAATACACGGGTTTAAAAAGCAAATACACGAAAAATGTTTTATATAGGGTGTTTCAAAAAGCATGTGCCATCTCTCGTGGGGAGATTCCGACTAGAGATAGAGATATAGAGATAGAGATGAGACTTTTCATATCAACATAGGTCCAATTCTGCTTTGTTTCGTGGCTACAGGGTGTTAAAGTTTTAATATTTTTTCGATTAATTATAATTTTCTTCCAAGTACTTTTAGCGTCTCGAACGAAATTTTGAGGATAAAAGTCACTATAAATGTGACATATGTTAAAGCTAAAAAAGCGTTAACGTATTCACCAGGGACGTGCATATGGGTTATCGCTGGAATATTTTTCTTAAAATAGCATGTACGCCACTGATTTTTTTACTAGCAAAATAGTATAAGCAGTTTAATGCCGATTAAAAGTTGTCTCTTGATATTTTGTCGATTTCAGCCTCCTTGATGAGATAAACGCAATTTTAAGAATTTGATCCAAGTCTAATAACAACCTTTAAAGAAATGTAATTTCATTAACTTGCTAAAGTTTTAAATAAATACTCATTGGTTCTTCATCCAAAAATATTAAAATGCATAGTTTTAGAGTTACAGGACGTTATTTTTTTAAATTAGTTTTTTTTAATCATCTTAAATACAATTAATTTTTCTTATTTGAAATTGCTATAGGTGCGACTAATAGTAATAATACCTAATAGTAATAATATTTAATAATAAAGTAGGTAAAATATATAATGTATTAATTTTATTTTAATTTAAATTTTATTAATTGTGATTAATAAAATTGCGTTTATCTCATCAAGGAGGTCGAATTCGACAAAATATCAAGATATAACTTTTAATTGGCATTAAAAGGCCTACACAATTTTGATATCCAAAGAAGAGAAGTCAGTGGCGCACATGTTTTTGTTTGAAAAATGAATTGAATCTTGAAAATTGATTGAATATCCGGGAAAGTTGAGTTATTGAATGTTATTGCACCCTACAACTACGTAATTACTGGTGTTTACAATTTTTCGGCAATTTTATTCACATTTAAAATTTTACAATTAAAAGGTATAAAAATTGATAAAAATATGTATATATATATATATGATCTAAAATTCTTTATTCTTTATCTTTCTTACATTTTTCTGAAATTTAAAAACAATACCACTATGCAACTATCTCGCTTTTTTCCCGAACATTTCTTTGAGAGACCTTCTTTGCGCTTTTCCCGTTGGAGTTTTTGGAATACTGTTCACAATGATCACTCCTCCTCTCAACCTGTGAGTATCTGCCAATCGAAGATCGGTAAAATCTATCAATTCTTTTGCTTCCAATCTCTGACCGGGCTTGACAACTACCAAAGCAGCGGGATGATTATTATCTATACGATGTGGAACACCAAACACCACAGCTTCTTCAACAGACGGATGGGATAATAGACTATTTTCTATGGTGGATGGACTGACTTGGTTGCCCTGGTATTTGAACATCTCCTTGATGCGATCAGTGACGTATATGTAGTGGTCAATATCGTAATAACCTAAATCGCTCATTTTTAGGAAGCCATCTTCATCGAAGCTGTCGGTTTTATCTAGGTTGTGGTATCCACACATAAGGTATGGTGTTTTGAGTCGAATTTCACCTTCTTGGTTTGGTCCTAAGAGTTTTCCTGTGTCCACATCCACAATCTGTAATAATAACGATTATTTTTTAGCTAGCATTTGGAACAAAACTCTTATAAGGGGTTAGGGGTTCGCTCAAGTCAAAGAAAACTCTTCGAAAAACACTACGAAAATTCTTTATTCTTGGTATCTAAAATACTATACATTTACTTAGCAGGGGGAAAATTTTATATATATATATATGGTACAATCTTACCTATCAAGCCTTTCTACTAACTTTTAAAAGTACAGTTTTACACTTTATGGCCACAGGATAATAAAATGAATACAATAAGAATAGTTGTTTTCAGCGTACAGTAGCGAGAGTAAAATGAGAATCAAATTCAAATATGCAAGGCGCAAAAAGATTTAAATAAAAAACTGACTCTCCAGGTAGAGCTACGACCAAATAAGATTCTCCACATTGTTATTGCTGTTACACATTACTGGAACGTCAAAATACAGGGTGTCAAAAAATACTGTATCTATTTTTGATGGGTGATTCTACGGAAGAAAATAAAACAAAAAGTTCCAATGAACATATGCCCTAAAATGATTCCTGAAGAAATTACAGCCCTCCAAAGGTTAAATAAAAATAATATATTTTGTTTTTTTACATAGCAACTGTATATATATATATATATATTGCTATATTTTACATAGCCTTATATCTATCAAAAATAGTAGATAAAATAGTACTTTAACCGCAAGGGTAGATTAAATAATACTTTAACAGCGAGGATAGGTTAAAAACTTATTTCTTCTCGCACGTTTTTTAATTGCCTCCATTTTTGAAAATGTTTGTATTCCTTTTCATAAGTTATTCGGGATTTAAATGGAATTAGTTTGGATATGGCGTTTGTCGCCTCAGCCTGAATATCTGTTGGCAATTTGCTTATTTCGTTTTGAGCCCCATCTCTGGCTCCAATTCAATCAGCAATCGACACGAAAGAGAATTAAAAAATATTGACTCAAAACTGATAACTAAAGAGACAGCTTTATTTATTTGTCAAATTACATAGAAACCAACGCCAACCCAGCACAATATTTTGTCTACTCGTAATAAATTCCTTGAAATAATAATTTCTGAATATTTTTTAAAACGTAACTCGCTATGGAAAAAATATTGTTTTATACACGACGATAAAATTACATTATCTTCTCCCGAAATTAATTCACTCGCGATATCATCGCTCGTGAATTAATATTTTCGGTCGACGATAAAATACCATTTTATTGCCTTGTATAAAAAATAACAATTGTTTATTTTTAAGAATACTTGTAAATCGTTTTTCTTGAAATTTGGTGCTATTACACATGTTTTAATACCAAAACGAATGGCGATACTGTAAAATTGAAATTAAAGTTTCCGTTATGGTAGTAGAGGGTAAACTGGTACCCTTTCAGGGCTGTTACAATTTTTTTTACAATCGCCATTCGCTTTGGTATTAAAATGTGTGTAAGAGTATACCATATTTCAATGTTCTTAAAAATAAACAAAATACAGGGTGAGTCTTAAATAAGTGCAAATATTTTTAGGGCTAGTATATTTTGACCCCAGAAACACGACTATGAGTTTTTTGTCGCGAGAAAAATTCTTTTAAAATTTGGAATTTTTGGAGAAAAAATTTGAATTTTTTTAAAGGTGTCTCATCCTGATTTTTTATTTCCCATAATTTAAGTAACACAGGGGAAACAACTTTTTTGGAATTTTATTCTAACAAAGTATTGTTGTAAAAATCGATATATATTTTTGTAGGACATTAAACAGTTCTCAAAAAAGGCCTGATATGATTTTTCATTTAACCGACTCGTTTGAAAGTTACTGAACGTTCAAAACTTCAAATCGTACTCATATGATAACATCCACAATTTTTAAAATTTTATTACGAAATAATGGCTCAAAAACATAAAATATTCTATTTTTCATAAAGTTCATCAAGTGTTTTTTGGTAAATTGATTTTTTTACGAAATACAAATAATCGTAAGAAAAGTAGATTTTTTCCATATACTTAATCTTAAGTGGCACTCGAATTTGTTTTCACCTGCATAATGATTTAAAGAATTAATAATTTTTAAAAAGGCTGTACTTAAACTGCCGTTAAACGGTAGCCTACTGAAATGCCGTTAATAGGTATGACGTCGTTGATGTGACGCACTTGACGGCTTTTTAATGCTTTGGTTAAAATGCCGTCGAACGGTCGCGTACTAAAATGCCGTTAATCGTTAATGCAGAGTAGGCTACTGATTAATACTTAATAATTTGTAATGTAATGTTGTCCAAAATCCGTCATGGCTTATTCTGAATAAGGTTTGAAAATGTATTTGCGATAAAATGTAATATATGGCATTGGTTTTCAGGTTTTTATTGCAAATTATAAACTGACAATTTAAAAATAATTCTACGTCAACTTATATTATAACAAAAATTAATAATGCTATAGATAGCATTCTCTGCAAAACCACAGTTTTGATTTAGGTCGCTTAGTCAATCCTGCACAACGAATATGTCTCCATATAGTGTGACCAACGGATCTGTAGCTACGGGGTATCGGCAGGGGAACGCAGTTGTAAACAAAACACGCCCAATTTCATTCATAAAATAGGCATGGGCGTACGGTGTTTTTATGAAAATAATGTGTATCATAAATATAATATTCAGATTAATAATTTTTTTCAAAAAACTTTATCCTCTTTGTATCGTTACTGTTGAGTTAGCAGATAAACACTAAAAGCTTTTATTAAAGCTCACTTAAATATTTTGAATAATTTTATTATTATGTGTTGTTAATATAATTGAAGAAATAATTACAGCTGGGGTTGGAAGCTTTGATGTTACACATCAAAATAAAATACTAAATCAGCACAATACACCATAACACTTTTACTTTTACACTGGACGCACGTTTTGCTAACCATGTTAACATCATCAGCAGATGATCAAGACTGAGTCTTGAGGTATATTTATTTATATATCTGTACTAACTATATTTTTTCTATAATACATTATTTTAGATATAACTATTTCCAGCAAAAAAAATCTTGAAAATAGTTAACTTTGGAAGCGCAAACAAAACATAATTTTACACACCAGTAGATCCAATATTGCCTATTACACCAGATATGGTATCGCTCCGCCAGCACTTTTTAAAGGTTAGGTCATTGTCTACCTATGTTTCATCCAAATAGATAATACTTGACGATATATTCGAATTTTGCGTATATATTTATCTCTCTCTGCAATATAATGGGCCGCTCCATTAATATTTATCTGTTATTTTGACATTTACGCCAAAAAATCCATTTGATTTTAATAACCCCCTAAGCGTTTCCCTGTCAAAGGAAAATTCAATTCTTCCTTCAATTTTTGCAAAAGCTTTCTAATTGTGGGGACGACTTTGAATTCGAGATAAAATCTATTTATCAAATTCCTGACCACTTGGAAATCAAAGTCGTCGAGCTTTTCAACAGCAGTCTCACGTGGCCGTTTCTTTCCAGGGCTGGATATCATTTTATCGGGGTTAGTTTCCAGTCTTTTTTTTATCTTCTGTGTGAATTTTTTTATAGCCGATACGCTAACTCCGGTATAAAGAGATATCCGCTTAAGTTTACGTTTAAGCGGCAACTTAAGGGAAGTCTCTGTAGCTTCTTCGTCGCAAACCCTATTATGAACACAAGGAAATAAACCAAATGAGTTTTCATCCACGTTTATTTACATTTATTTTAGTTTAGCTAAAATATTTAGGTAAAATGTGGTGCTTTTTATTTTAGCCAAATTTAATTTTAATATTCTAATAATTATATTAATATTATTCTACTTGCCTATATAAATTAGCTATTATTTCTCTTATCCTGGCTATGTAGCGTCTTACCCTTAACAAATTTATTCATTTTAAAATACAAATATACGCGATCCAACTTATAATTAAAAACTACTAACGAAAAACATTATAACAAGATAACAAAACAATAAAACACAACTTAACTATTAAATATACGAAAAATATAGGAATAAAGTTTAGGATAACCGGTATAAAATAACGAGAGAAAGTAATAATGATCAAAAGAATGACACCGCCACTGGATATTTCAATAGTATTCAATATTTCCACTCTTTTCAGAAGTGACCGTGAAGTTGGGGATAAGGCTAGCGAATAGGAAAGGCGTAAAAGTCATGGCAACCGCGTGGTAACAAATCCTATGACGTACTCTCGCCAATCATGTTCGACGAATAGGCGGCCATGCGCGGCGATGCCGGTTTGTCAATGATGTCCTTGATATATCTTCACCTTTCGTAATAAGCAGATTATACAGAATGAAAGAAATAAGTTATTAAATAAAACATATCCAACAATATGAACTACGTTAAAATTCCTTAGTAATATACGTCAGAATATATGCTAAACACATTATATATAATAAAAATATATTAAATTTATAGTTCATGTCTGGCAATTTTGTAATTTTATAGATAAACGTGGCAATATCGATTTTTTTTTCTCGCATTCCTTCCGTAGCTTCAGATCCGCTGGTCAAACAGTAGAAGGCATCTACTGCAACAAAGTGACATATGATTTTTCTGCCTGTCTTCACTGCACACACAACAAAACCAACTTTGTTGAAGTCGTTTCTGCTCAACTAGATTGGTTATTTTTTCAAAGGCTTTCTCGGTGCAAAAACTTCTAAAAATCGTAAATTTACATTATTAGTTATTAATTTGGTAATTATTAGGTATTGCTAGACTTACCTTATTATGTGGATATCAACAGCCTCATCAAGAACGACATGTGATATTTCTTCTTTATATTTGTGATGTCTCTAACGATGTTACGATCCTTAACGAAGCAATTCAGGATTACATTTTGTTTTTCATGATAGGATTGTTTAGCAAATGCTACAGTACATCTTTTCTTTTTCTTTGGTAGTCCTATGACTGTTAAGTCCTGTCCTTTTGGACGTCCTTTATGAGAAAAACAGGTAATCCTATTTAAGTAATTTATATGTATACTATAAATATACTATGTATATTTATACTGTAAGAAATTCTGGAAAAGCCTTCATTGTACTTTTCATGGTTGGACTTTGAATGAAAAGTCCTCTGAAATTATTGTCTTCGTCTCGCAAAACAGCTACATTGGCACCTGAAAACAGAGTAGTTATTGGGACTAATAAGACGATAATAGAATATTTTAGTTTACCATATTTAGATTTAAGTATATTTAAGCAGCCATCTAAGTTTTCTTTTCTTGATTGATCGGATATCTTCATATTTGTTAAATCTTGTTAAGTAACAATTTTACCAGTACTTTCTTGAACTTTTTGCTGTATCATTTTTCTATTGGCATTCATATTCAAATAATCCTTGACACTTTCCTTCATGTTACTGGGAAGTTTTCTTTGGCTAGGGTTATGCGCATGTAGAACCTACAAAATATATCTTTTATGAATAAAATACTGTTCAAGCAAGAATTCTAAAAGCATACTATATGTCAACTAATTTGTAAACTTACGTTCGAAGTGACATGATTGTGCTTCATTTGAACCGATGTTACCTCGAGTGCTTTTCCATCATACGATGCTTTCAATCTTACATGTACTGGGCAATCTTCTTTAAATGTCCAAGACTGTCGAATTTTTTCCACCCCCCTTAAACTTCTTTCCACCGTGATTACATGCATATAGAAGTTGATAATAAATCAAAGAGCTTTCTACTGGTCTCACAATTTTACTGCTTGCAATCGTACGGGCATCTCGTTTCCAAAATGTTGTGTACGTATTTTCAACAAGTTCCTCAATCGCTTTCTTTGCGTCAGCGAATGAGCTGAACCTATCCCCAATTTTCAGCATGCTAATTTCAGTCATGAAAAATAATTAGGTACTTAACTAACCTAAAAATGTTTATAGATAAATTAACAATCAGAAAACTAACTGAAACACTTACTCCATCCTGAACCGATAATATCCAGATGTACACCTTAATTAAAATCAACTTATAGCACTTAGCACAAATTGTTACTACAATAATAATGCAAACGCGACGAAAAAAACATACCAAAAGGGCAACGGAAAACGGAACACAAATTGATTAACGGCATTTTAGTACGCGACCGTTCGACGGCATTTTAACCGAAGCATTAAAAAGCCGTCAAGTGCGTCACATCAACGACGTCACATCTATTAACGGCAGTTTAAGTACAGCGTTTTAAAAAAAAGCCTTAGCCAATAATATTTTATTTGTTTAAATACATTATTTACACATTATTGTACAATGTAAGATAATAAAAGCCATGGTCCAATAATTTTTCAATCAAAATAGAATTTAACATTTAAAATTGTTCTTTATCAGGTTATATTTTTCTATAATTCTTTTTTCACTTAACATAATCACCATTTTAACCATAATTTTTATCTGACAAATGTTTCTATAATGACCCAGCAAAAATTTACAATATTCACTACAATAATTATTAGGAATCATCCTGATTCAACATAATTATTTATTATTATTATAATAACTATGACTGTTTGTTTTTCTATCTTGTCTGGCGCTCAAAACTTTTAGTTGTACCGGGTGTCCCACTAAGAATAGCTCTCGGCTGTATCTCGGAAAGCATTAGCCGTAGGGCTTACGGAAAAAACATATTTATAACTAAAGGGGCCAAGAGAAATTGCTGGAAATTATTTTCAAGTTTGTAAAACAGCCCCTAGTGGGCGCAACAGCTACTGAAAATAAGAAAATAGATTTTTTACAGAATTTTGCTTAGATAATGGGTACTATAAATAATAGCTTCATAATCTTCAGTAAATTTTGGATTTTTTTTTGTTAGAATCATTTTCCCATATCTGCTAAAATAAAATGGTGGGGGAAGGTTAGGTCTATCTTTCTTTAAATGTTAATAACTCCGGTCTGGATGATCAGAATCCAATAAACGAGAGCTCGTTTAAAAGAGCGTTTCTTACTCTATAGTATACCATAATAATAATAATAATAATAAAAGAAAGAATCAGAAAAGTGCTAGACACAGAATTATGTGCAAAAAACAAAATAAAAGCTATAAACACAATAGCAATTTCAGTAATAACTTACAGTTTTGGTTTAGTGGAATGACCAAAAGAAGAGATAACGAAAATTGACAGAAAGACTAGAAAACTACTTACCTCAAGGAAAATCCACCACCCAAAAGACAATGTTGATAGGAAGACTAGATGGAGGAAGAGGTTTGCTAGCAAGACGAAGCAAGAGCAAAATACTCAATTACGAAGGAAGCAGCACGAATCAGAATGAAATATGACACAAATGAAGAAACATCCAGGAACATGAAACTGAAAATAAGAGAAGAAATAGAAAAGCGAATAATAGAAAGATTAAAAGAAAAACCACTATACGGACAATTTATGAGACATTTAGATAATGACTTCGTCAATAAAAAGAGTAGCATACAATGGTTAAATGGTGCAGGATTGAAAGGAGAGACAGAAAGCCTAATAATGGCTGCACAAAATCAAGCCCTAAGTACAAGATATAGACAAAAAAAGATCTTCAAACAAAATGTGGATAGTAGATGTAGATTAAGTCATGCATGGGTCAGAGGAACACGTTAGTCATATTATCGCTGGCTGTACAAACTTGGCCGCCACTGAGTACACTCATAGGCATAATAAAGTAGCTGGCTATATGCATTGGAACATCTGCAAAGCATTCGGAATGGAAGTTTGTGCGAAATACTACGAGCATATTCCTGAAACAATTACAAACATCAAAAACAAAGACAATGAAGTAACAGTAATGTGGGATTTGCCCATCATAACAGATCGACAAATAAATGCGAATAGACCAGACATCGTGGTACATGACAAAAAGAATAAAACTTGCCAACTTATAGATATATCAGTACCAGACGATTCTAACGTACAATTAAAAGAAAACGAGAAGATAATGAAATTTAAGAACCTAGAAATAGAAATCAGCAGAATGTCAAATGCAAAGTCTTGTACTATACCGGTTATTGTGGGCGCCTTGGGAACCATATCCAAAGGAGCAGAACTACATCTGAACCGCATCCCAGGAAAATCATCTATCCAAGAAGCCCAAAAGATTACGTTGCTCAGCACGGCTCACATCCTTCGCAAAGTGTTGAACTAAGTTGCTTTGATCCCAGGCCGGGAACTGGACTTAGTCAATAATTACCGGAGAACTTCAACCCCCATCTCCGTGGAATATGTTAAATAATAATAATAATAATAAGGTTTTGAACGTAGACGCTAGGGGGCGCTTTCTTACAATTTAACAAACATAGCGCGTTTTTCAAAAAAAAATAAATACGATAGTATGTGCTATTTTAGCTGGTAGTAAAGAGTAGTAAAAGCTTAAAAAGTCAGCGAAAACCGCATCTTGATATCTTCTTTCAAACCGAAGATATTAGCAAAATTATAATAAATACCAAAAAATAAGCCCTTAATTCCCTTACTTTTGCAATACAGTATCAGTAGCCCTCTTGATTAGGCCCATTCTAACAAAGAAATAAGATAGAAACAGTTAGTTTATTTTAAAATCGACTAAATACCAGAATACCATAATACCAGATGTATTAATATCTAATAATTAAGATATTAATAATAGTGAACAAGAAACGATGATTCAGTGAAGTCATGGTAGGCTTTGGAAAAAAGTTGCTTTTCGCGTAATAGTATAAACGTCAAATTGTTATTAGATCAACATTTTGATAGTCTTAGCAGCGTTTTTTTTATTCTTTAAATGCGTTTTCAAAATGCTTTAATTATTTGAAGTAGTTGAAGTTGTTGGCATTTTGAAAAAGCAATCAAAAGATCAAAAACGCTGCTAAGACTATCAAAATGTTGATCTAATAACAATTTGGCGTTTATACTATTACGTCAAAAGCAACTTTTTTCCAAAGCCTACCATGACTTCACTGAATCATCGTTTCTTGTTCACTATTATTAATATCTTAATTATTAGATATTAATATATGATATTATGATATTCTGGTATATCGTCGATTTTAAAATAAACTAACTGTTTCTATCTTATTTTTAGGTTAAAATGGGCATAATCAAGAGGGCTACTGATACCGTGTTGTAAAAGTAAGGTAATTAAGGGCTTATTTTTTGGTATTTATTATAATTTTGCTAATATCTTCGGTTTGAAAGAAGATATCAAGATGCGGTTTTCGCTGACTTTTTAAGCTTTTACTACTCTTTACTATCAGCTAAAATTACATATACTATTGCATTTAATTTTTTTGAAACAACGCGCAATGTTTGTTAAATTGTAAGACAACGCCCCCTAGCGTCTACGTTCAAAAGCTTATTATTATTGTTTATAGGGTACAATATATAGTAAGAAACGTTCTTTTAAACGAGCCCTCGCTTGTTGGATTCCGATCATCCAGTCCAGAGTTATTAATATTCAAATAAAAACAGATCTAACCTTCCCCCACTAGTTTATTTTGGTAGATAGGGGAAAATGGCTCTAACAAAAAATATTCAAAATTTACTGAAGATTATGAAGCTGTTACTTATAGTACACCTTATCTAGGCAAAATTGTGTAAAAACTTCATTTTCTTATTTTTTGTTGCAGTTGCGTCCCCTAGCGGTCGTTCTACAAACTTGAAAATAATTTCCAGAAATTTCCCATAGCCTCTTTAGTTATAAATATTTTTTTTCCGCAGCCGCTACGGCTAATACTTTCCGAGATACAGCCGAGAGCTATTCTTAGTGGGACACCCTGTACATACTTTTAGTGTCTGATTCGATTTCTGAAGAAAATCCAAATATTCTTATTATGGACTGTAACATAGCATTACCTCAGAACTCAGAACACATTTATATCCACTGCCTAAGTCTAGGTTTTTTTCGTTCGAATCATGGCATTATCTTACAAGATGCCAAATGTAGAAAAGTAGAAAGGAAAAGTGATAAGAACTAATATAATAACCTAAAAACTGCAACAGTTTTAATGGCGACCGCCGCGCCGACCGCAGTTCATTCAGTTAAAAACACGTATACACGACGAGGCTGCTGCTTTACCAGAAAAGGGAGAACTTCTTTCTACAATGTGTAAGAAAGTATATACCTGAAAAGCTAAAAATAATGTATTTCACAGAGAATTGGGCCACCTGAACTGAATGAATCAGGATGTCAAAGTTTCTCAAAATCGTGACTCAAAATCGTAACCTATTCAAGATCAAATTACCGTTATCGATAATGGAAATAAAGCAGTAGAACCCTGTAAAATTGATCTTTGTGAAAATTTGATCAAGACAATTTCAATTTAAAAAAACCGGAGGAAAAAGAGCTTTTTTCACACGAGCGAAAAACACCCTTACTTATATATTAATAAATAAAATATGTTTCTTCGTTAAGGTCATTTTGTTTTTGTGGATTTGGGCCGATTGCCTGTTATTCCCGGGCCGGTTTCCACTTCCCCATCCACCCCTGATGACTTTCAAACGAGTCGATTAAATGAGAAATAATAATAGACCTTTTTTAAAGATCGTTCAATTTCCTACAAAAATATATATATTTTTAGAACAAACAAAAATATATATTTTTGTGGGATTTTACAACAAGCTGATTTGTTAGAACCGAGGGGTAAACCGCAGAGGAATTATGGTGTATACTATGAAGGAAAGGAATTACGAGGAATTCCAAGGAATTCCATAGAAATTACTAGGGATTCCAATTATTTCCGTAAGAATTCCAATGAATTCCAAGGAATTCCTTAGAAATTTAGAGGAATTCCACAGGAATTAAGAGGAATTACAAGCAACTTTATAAAAAATTAACGAACATTAGTAAACCATGAATACTATAATAGGTAGTACTAAATTTAAAGAAAAACGTTTTGCAGGCGATTTTTACTATCCTTTTACGTTTTCGCTTCCAAAATTTCCCAATATCAAATATCTACAGGTTAGATATTCTTTTAATTTAATATTGTACCCTCGATTATATATCTAAAATATTTTCCAATAGTACGGCCGAACCACCCCCGAGAGATCTAGTTATAACGTTCCCTGATTTCGCCATTTTAAAGAAATCCTCATAAGATTTTTTTATTCAGTACTCCAGAAAGTGTAAAGTTGATTTTTTCATTTCCTCGGAATAATACCTAGGTATATACTATAGGAAAATTAATACAACTTTAGGTGCACTTCATCAATGATACCATGCGTAATCTTATGGAATTTACTGGTGATCGTATTATGACGTGCAACTGAAGTTTTATTAATTTCCTTTCCTATAGATACGAGTATAACTAGGTACCTATCATTTTCAAAAAATCCCGAGAAAAAATAATTTTAATAAGTAAGTGCCGACATATTTATAGTGTTTTTACCTCATAATCCCCTATTAGTCCTAAAATTTAACTAAAAAAACGTAAATCTCGTAATAGTACTTTTTATTGTTAGATCTAGTACTTATAGAGACATTACACATTTATAAAAATCACCAGAAAATTCATAGCGGAACTGCGAAACCGAGGTGGCAACGCTGGGTTCAGACTGAAAGAGTTACCGAGTTCGTACCAAGGAATTCCAAGGATGACCTTGAATGATTGACCTTGACCTTGAAGACCAGGAATTCCAAGGAATTCTGAGGAATTATTTGAGTAAAAAGAATTACGGTGTACACTTTTCCCTCTGCGGTTTACCCCTCGGTTAGAACGCACTAAAATTTAATAAAAACCTTAATTTTTGACTGAAACACCTCTCAATATTAATATTAAAAACTCAAGTTTTACTAGAACTTTTTTTCATCACCTTGAATCAGTGGCGGATACAAAGGGGGGTGCCCATGGGGCCCGGCCCCCCCCTAAAATCTATGAAATGGGTTAAATATTAGCCTTTTTGGTGAAAAATGGCGCCCTAAAAAGCATATTCTACATTACTTTTCATTTGGCCCCCCCCTAAAATAAATTCCTGTATCCGCCCCTGATTGAATGGTATTTTCACGGTAACTATAAAAAAAACAAAGTATTTTTTTGTGGAACAGGAAATTGTAGAGAGAAACAAGCCCTATAACATAGGATACAACATTTTAATGAACAGTGCTTTCCATAAAATCAATAAAATGAAAAATATACAAAATAGTAGGTATACATGTACTGATTTCTTTCGAAAATCGACAACTATGAAACTATGAACCCTTTCCGGACACAAACGGTACGTTGTCAGACAGGAAATTGTAGAGAGAAACAAGCCCTATAATAAGATATAGTAAACGCCACGAATGTTTGGGAGTGATTCATCGGTCGCTACCATGTGAACTAATCTGTTCAAGGTCACATAAAACTTAATTCCAGTGCCGTGGTCTTTCAAGTAATATAATTATCAATATATAATCTGTTGTAATTTGTTGTTTTAACTGTCAAAGTCTTGTCAAAACATATATTTGGTTATAAATATAAAATGGAATGCCCCATTGGTCGCACTGCAAGTACGCCAATTTTAAAATAAGTAGGAGGAGCGCAGGCAGATGATTAGACCGGGCCTTTAAAAACCTACGTCTGCGGTAAAAATTTACGTTTTTAATGTAAAAATGATAGCGCGCGTGTCGATTCTAACTTCATCAAGCGATGAATCACTCCCAAACATTCGTGGCGTTTACTCTACAACATTTTAATGAACAGACAGTGCTTTCCATAAAATCAATAAAATGAAAAATATACGAAACGTACATATACATGTACTGATTTCTTTCGAAAATCGACAACTATGAAACTATGATCCCTTCCCCGACACAAACGGTATGAGACAGGAAATTGTAGAGAGAAACAAGCCCTATAACATAGGATACAACATTTTAATGAACAGTGAAAATTCTATGAATAACAATCTATCAAAGAATAAAAACGAAGTTATATTACCATAGAAACGCGTTTTGATTTTTAGGACTTGTAAAAAATTCAACCATATTTTTGTGTTTTGAAAATGGTATGAAAATTTGAAAATGTGTAAACGGGATTAACCATTTTAGAACAAACAACATTTTTTATGAATTTTTTTCCTCTTGTAAAGACAATCCGAGGACATTCTGTATACCCTATCGATTAGCTCTCATTTTTTGACACTTAATTTTTTTGATGGGATACTTACTTTTAATTCAACATCAGCCAGTAGCTTTCCAGAAGATTCAAGCTTGGATTCGTAGGCTTCTCGACTTTGGAAATCAAAACAACTGATGAAGCTGGTCTCCGTGGATCCGTAACCCATGGCCACCTTGGTGTAAGGGAGCACTTCTCTGAGTTTCAGAATCTGAGCTGGATTCACTGTAGCTCCCCCCACAAGAACAGAATACAAAGAAGATGTGTCGTATTTTTTAATGATATCAGGGCCTAAGGACGATATGCCGTAAGTAAAGCTGTTAGACATAAAGGTATATGTAATCTAAAACATAAGAGATATTTAATTTACTATAGTTATCTCTCTTATACAGGGTTGTTCACCACATACGACGCGGAGTATTGTAGCTAAACGATTAGATTTTTACAAATTGTAAATTTTGGGTTCGTTGAAGAACTATTAGAGCTACAATTTAAAAATATTTTTACAAAATACAGAGTGTCCCAAATAAATAGAAAATATCATTTTGTATCTAGGTTAAATTGTTCATTTTAGAACCTCTTTTAGTGTTAAGTGTACAAGATAGCTTAATAGCCATAAAAAACTCATTTAATGCAACTTTATTAGAATATTTTGAACGGAAAAGCGGTATAGTAATGGAAGTGGTATAGTTAAGGGGCATAAACATTTAAGTGCTGTTAAGGAAGTGAGTTTTGTTGATGTAAATAATAACTGTTTATATATTCATAATTAATTTAATTTTGTTTCCTAAAATATTTTGAGTTAAAGAAAATATGTAAAAGTGGGCAACGCTGTGCCGGTCAAGCTTAATCACGTGACTAAAAGTTTATTTGGTATGATCTATAGTTAATTTCTTTTTTTTAATTTCTTAAGCTTATACAGGATGTTCGAAAAACACACGTCAAAATTTTAGCGGTGATTCTTCATCAAAAATATGAAAAAAAGATCTTATAAGCATTATAAGCATTGTTCTTATAAGGGTTGGGAAATGCATAGTTAAACCTTTTTTAACAATAAGTTCTTTGTAATTATCTTAAACATATTTTTTTGGATATGTTGAACGTAGCACTGAACATAAGATATTCTAATATGTTATGAAATATTTTTATACTTTACTATAGGCTTGGTGCATTCTCCGCCGGTGCTGCCACCATCGGAGAATATCGTAAACAACTAGTACTTGCAATTACACGGGTTTAAATAGCGAGAATACGAAAAATTTATTATTTAATTATTCTAAAAGTGTTAGAAAGTATAATTTGTGAAAATTCTAAAAATAAAAATAAAAGAGTAAATATTTTGATATCTAACTTGAATTATAATTTATTATTCAAGTTAAAAAAAACTTTTTAGATGAGTTCAACGACGGTAGTGAACATAGTTTTAATCACAGGTTTTGAGTGAGGCATAATTGGGGCTATTTGGGCTATGGCGAAATTTTTTAAAGGTACATAATTATAATTTTAGAAGATGTTCATAAAACATTTAATCACTAGTTGATTAAAAAAAGTATCCATTAATATTGCAAATTATATTTTATCCTCTCATAGTATATGTCTATTTATTTTTTTGATTATGTAACGGGCACTTTGTTTACTCACTTGTTTTGTCTCTCTCGAACTGCTTGAATTCATTTTCACTTGTGGTCAAATCGGTGTGTAAAACAATGAAGCTATAAAATGTTGTTTCGGGAGAGTTGAACATCCGGGAGAGTTGAGTTATTGAATGTATTGCACCCAACAACGCCCTAATTAGGCTCTCCTTTACGCGTTAACATTCTTTCGGCAATTTTATTAACATTAGAAATTGTCACAACACAACACGACACCTAGTTCGAATTCTTTTTCGCTTATTTTTTACTTCCCGAAACACCGTTACATCACACAAACCTCGTACCTGAGTGTTTTATAGTTTCAATAACTGCACTAGCAATAAACAAAATACTTAAATATTATGAGAAACCCATGATTTCAATATTATTTTAATGCGATCAACACGACGCACTGTGCTTCTAACATATGGCTCTAGAGGACAAAAATGCAAAACTTCTCTTTTATTGTAGGCAATTTATTCAAACTAGGTTTATTTGACACAAATGATGAGTACTCTCATTGTACTAAATGATGATGTTCTTAGTCCCACGTTTGTGAAAAAAAAATCTTATAAATAATAAAAATGTTGGAGCTGTGTTATAAAGGAAATAATAATTTATAGTATGAAAACGGTGTAAGTATTAAATAAATCCCTGTGATAAAAAAGAATTGAAATAACATTAGAACATGATTCCTACAATATAAGCCTAATATAAGATAAAAATGTTTTTCTTTAATTAAAAAGAAACATCAATGTTATATTTAATTAAAAAAAAACTTAAGATACCATAAATTTACTTTAGGACAACAAAATGCATAGATCGTAACTACTCTGATTCAGAAGAATCACTGGTGACAGAATCTTCCAAATTTATAATATCCAAATCACCAGTAGATAAAGTATCCTCACATGTAAGATATTTCTGTACATCATTTTCTAATATGTCACTTTTTCGCGTTGTTACTGTTCTTTCTGTTGGTATGAGGGGTTCGGATGTTAATAGTTACCTCTTTAATAGACCATATCCATATAATATTTTTTCCTTTTCTTGGGTATGAGGTTTTATAATAAATTGAAGATGGAAACTTTTTTATGCGACGTTTCGCTCCAACATAGTGGGCTTTTTCAGGCACAAGTGGTGTCTCATTTGACTGGAAGGTTCATCAATATCTAATAAAGAACACATTTTTTGAAATACAAATAATTTTGAGTTCTTGTTCCTATGATCAAGCCAAGTATTAACCAGATCGGCATTGCTTATCAATTTTACTCCATCTGAAAAGTATTGTAAAATAAACTTCGTCGCAAGCAGACGCAGGTGAACTATACTAAAATTAAAATTGTATGAATATGGCAATAAATATATTCAATAAATACGATATGTTTTGATATGCTTTTTTTAAATGCCTTTTTGAAGTTTGAAAACGTAAAATTTTTATACCGATTTAAGAATCATCTTAAAAAATAAATAAAAACTAAACAATCACGAACTTGTTTAGAAATAAATTTAAAGTACATACCTTGTTTAACAATATCCATAGTTGCTTTCAATTAAATACGTACCTCTTAACTCCATAATATACGGAACATACGTTATTCTTTTCACTTATAAGATAATGATCGCAAAATTTATTTTTAGTAAAATTATTTGCTAACAAAAAACGCTGTTTATGAAAAATTATATACAAGATGGTTGAACATTGCTATAAGTATAAAATTACATATTCAGATATTAGTAAATTTTAACTTTTTTTTCGATTTTTGTCCATGGGACGAAGCACTGTGACCCGGCGCGGGCGACGCGCGACGACGCGTGTCGGCTATATTGATAATTTCAGATTTTTTTCGTTGAAGTGCTACGGTCGGAATTTATTGAAATCAACTAAAATGCACCAAGACTATAGTTGCAACATTTTTTTAATAAACTAGTTGTTTGAAACAGCCGACTAGGCCAGTAAGCGAGGATAAAAATAGGGTATTACCTCCGAATTCTTGACACCCGCACCGATTGATGTGAAATTTTAACAGTGAATAGAAATATATGTACTGCCGGGTCCAGACCTAGGCGTCAAAAAGTAAACACGATTTTGAGAGAAAGACAAGACAAACTTGTCACAAAAAATGAAGACTTCTGACAAGACAAACTTGAGACAAACTGTCCACACAGGTATAACAAAGTCAAAAGTTTAGTTGTTGCGAATGAGTTTTATTAACCATATGTGATTTCACTGGTCTCCTACTGTTGCCAGCACACGCCATCCACACTGCGCCGACAACTTGTCGCAAAATATACGAACAAAACATAGACACTCTGATCTTTACCGACTCGAGACGGGATATTGAAAAGTCTCCGAATTTTGAAACAAAACAAAAATGAGACAAAAATGTCGCAGTAATGTATTGGATTTGTCATAACTTTGTCGTAAAACATGAATGTTTTTGTCTTGTCACTGTGTTGTCTGCTTGGTCTGGACCCGGCATAAGAAACAAAAGTTACATAGTAGCGATGTGTGCTTTCACCATAGTGGTGAGTGTCACCCCTTCTATAAAAAATAAATCACCCATTTTAATTGCAAAAATCAATAAAGGGATGAATTCTAAGCAAAAAATGTTCTATAACATTTTTTCATAAAGTTTTTCATATTTTCCGAGTTATTTAGTATTGAAAATGTTGATTTTTCATTTAAAAGCTACATATTTTTCTGCAATTTTTTATAAATAACTCGAAAACCTTACGTTTTATCGCAAAACTCACATAAAGCAAAAATGAAGCCTTTGGAATAACAAATCGATTCATTTTTTGCTGATTGCCGTAGGTGTAATAATAGCCCGGTTATCACTCTGTAAAAGTGATTTTTTATTTTTCGAAAACTAAATTGCAACCCTTTTACTGTAAAATAATGGCAAAAGAACACATTTTTCGAAGAAAATGAATATGACCGTTTTTAAAGTGCTTGAAAAGACCTTTTACATGCTTTTTTAAAAGGTCTTTTTAAGTTCGTAGCTCAAAAACTAGAGGTGTTATGATAAAAATAAAATGGTCACCTCATTTTTTCGGAAAAAAATTAACAACAAAATATATGACTAAAATTATAAAAATAAAAACTATCAATTTGTAGGAAATTACACGAGTTACAAATTAACCTCTATAGTTGGACAGTCGTGAACTCTAATTTTTACAAGATTTATGGGTTTTAAGCGCTCAAAGAAGGTGGTCCTTACACGCAAGTCAAATTAAAAAACGTAATATCTACGAAATAAAGAGATCTACAGAAAAATTGGAAGAGCGCAAAAATATTGCAAAAAAAGGCCTTCAATTTTACTCTATTGCATGTTTTACGTTATTAAATTTTTTTTTTTATAAATTAAGAAATAAAAATTTTTATTATTTTAAACTTTTTTCCAAATTTAGGCATTCTAAACCGCTGAAACTCGCAAAGCATATTGTTAGTACCTAAATATTGCCAACTGTGTATCTATTACGCTTAGTTTTTATTTTTATAATTTTGGTCATAGATTTTTTTCAGAAAAAATGAGGTGACCATTTGATTTTTATCATAACTCCGCGAATTTTTGAGTTACGAACTTTTCTAAAAATGCATTTAAAAGGTCTTTTCAAGCAATTTAAAAACGGTCATATTCATTTTCTTCGAAAAATGTGTTCTTTCGTCATTATTTTACGGTAAAATGTTTACGGCAATTTATTTTTCGAAAAATAAAAAATCACCTTTACAGAGTGATCACTCGGCTACTATTACACCTACAGTAATCAACAAAAAATGATTCATTTAGTTATTCCAATATGAGTTTTGCAATAAACCGCCAGGTTTACGAGTTATTTATAAAAAATAGCAGAAAAATATGCAGTTTTTAAATGAAAAATCAACATATTCAATCCTAAATAACTATAATAGGAAAATATTAATTTTATGAAAAAATGTTATATAACATTTTTTGCTTAAATTTGCTTATTTTTTTGAGAAGGGGTGACACTCACCCCCAGGGTAAAAGCACACATCTATACTATGTAACTTTTGTTTCTTACATATATCTCTACTCACTGTTAAAATTTCAGGTCAATCGGTGCAGGTGTTCAGAATTCGGACCCTAAAACCCTCGCTGACTGGCCTAGACATATCTTATAGATTTACTTTATATTTTTCGACTAGGTTTAAATACTTTTCAGCTGATATACTGTTTCCCAAAATTCTGGTAGATCCAGTCAGAAAGCACTTGCTAGTGACTAACAGAGTTGAGACCCAGTAAAACGATGTGAAATTCATTAACACGCCTGGTTTCGTATATCCATTCCTAAAATATAAATATACATACATAAACATTTATTATAATTAATAGCCACTTAAAAAATAGTACATGGCATGTTGGTTACGTCCATTTCTAGATAATACGAGTAAACTTACTCAATTATTAATCTTCCTCCTTCCAAAGCAGACCTGTTTGAAATATATATTCCTTTGGGAGACGAAGTCGTACCGCTGGTGAACAAAATAAAAGCGATATCGTTGCCTTTTTGTTTAATCGGACTAAATGATTTCTCTTCTTCATAAAACCGAGACTCCATGGATCTCATTGTAGGATATTTATCCGAATTTCCAACAACAACTATAGTTGCTTTCATTCCACATAATTCCATAGCTTTTTCTACTAAACCCACAGAGTCTTGATCGACAAACAATAATTTTGGTTGTACCAATCCTAGAAAGTACTTTACGTCGTCCAGCGATTGTTTGGGATGAGCTGAACTGACATATCCTCCAAGATACAGGGTTCCAAGTACCGGAATAATGTTATTTAAATCGTTTTTACAGCACAACAGTACAACATCTTTTGGTTTTAAGCCTAATTTTTTTATGGCAAGAGCAACTTTGATAGATCGGGCCTTTACTTGACCGTAAGTCTCCGATTCGTCAGTGGTACCATCGATCTGCAAGTTAAAAATATATAGGGTGTCAAAAAATAGTATGTAGTTATGTAGAATGTAGAATGTTTAGAAGGGGATTAATCACCGCGACCTTATAGATCTATTGTGTGTTCCCCTTTCTTGAGTTATAACGAGTTATAACTCATCATACAGTCTCAGGGCTTTAAGAAAAGCCAGTATCTGAGACGGCTCCACAGAGGCCAGCTCTCCATCCTCGACATCAGACCTACCAAGGTTCATGGCACGAATGGTCGTCGTCTCGGCGCACTCAGTGATAAGGTGTTCTGGTGTTTCCCCATTTTCCCCACAAAATCTGCATTCGCCGTTGTTTCTCAGTTTCAGCCTACTGAGGTGTTCGTTGAGGAGACAGTGTCCTGTTAGAAACCCCGTGACAATCCGAAGAATGTTTTTACTTAAATCAAGGAAAACCTTTGATTTTTCTTGGTCATAAGTTCTGAGGAACTTTTCGAGTGTCTTAGACCGTTGGAGGACACCCAGTCCAAGTTACGGATGGAGTCTTCCAGATTCTTCAGTTCCGCTTTCAGTTGGTTCCCGTTTGGAAAACAGAACGGTTCTGGTCCTGTTAGTGGAGTGTTCGCTCCTTTTCTAGCTAGATCATTTGCTTGTTCATTGCCTTCTATCCCTTGATGAGCAGGCACCCAGAGTAGGAGGACTTTATTTTCTTTGCCTAATTTGTTGAGCTTCTCTAGGCATTCTTTGACCAACTTCGAATTGATGGTTACTGAGTTGATCGCGTTAAGTGCTGCCTGACTATCGGATAGGATGGCAATTTCCTGTTTTCGATAGTTCCTATCTAAGATAAATTGTACGCATCTTTCGATAGTGCAAATTTCTGCCTGAAGGATACTGGGGTAGGTGCCCATTGGTTCGGAGTATTCAGTTTTCGGCCCAAATACTCCTATCCCTGTCCCTGCTTTGGTTTTGGAAGCATCAGTATACCACGTGATGGTGTGATCTTTTATATGCTGAGTAAGCGTTTCTTTCTTCCAATCCTTTTTATTACTCAATACTACAGTGAGGTCTTTCTCAAAGTTGTAAATTCTTGGTATGTCATCCACTGGGAGTTGGAGAAATGGAATTTTCTTTTTGAGGGTGTCCCAAGCCCCTGACCTGAAAGCGCCTGACCTGAACCAAGCCCCTGACCTGAACTACGAATGTAGTTATAGGTACTATTAATATTATACGGGGTCGCTGTTATGTATGGAAACGGTCGATTATTAGGTAAAATATAAGATGTACCGCAAAAAGTTACATACAAAAGTTATAAGGTTTATAAATATCTATTAGCGGGTAATAAACTTAAGTATACAGGGTCGATCATAAGGTCGTGGCACATCAAAGTCTCATTTTTTTTAAACCGAACCCCCTGTATATTATTGCATATATCGGTTCTTCCTTCAATTCTAAGCAAAAATCGAGATACACACAATACACCTCAAACCAACCGTTTCCGAGTTATTGATTTTTGAAAATATCATTTAAACAATTTCATTTAATTAATTTCGATGTTTTTGGTTTCATTTAACGATGGCAGTCTGCGGAAACTGTGATACTTAATAATATATGACATTAGTTTTCAACAGGGTTGGCCTGATTTAAATCGTGATTTAAATCAAGTGATTTTTTTAATTTTAATCATGTGGTTTAAATAAAAAAAAAATATTGAAACTTTATAATAAATCAAAAAATAACTGTAAGAGTTATAAAAATGTGTCCTACAAAACTAGAAAAGATATTCCTATAACAGATATAACAGATAATAAGTCGAAAAATAATTGTAAATGCTATAAAATTAAATAAAAATATATATTCCTCAATTTAAATGTTGGACCAATTTTTGAAGTAATTTCGTGTGAATACATTAGACCGCTAAACGCAGGGATTTACTGTAAAATTTATGTATAAGTGACAAAAATTCGCTGTTCGAATACATATCATTCCCAAAGTCTAGTGCAGAACAAGGTTCTTCTGATATAAACACTATCTTCATTCCCGAGAATCTATAATCGTTGTCAGAAAATGTGTTGTTTTATTTTTTTTTGAAACGGTTGGATGTTTCCAAATTCCTACCGACATTTTAATGTGCAGTAAGTACTTTATACTTTGACATTAGATAATACATACTAATTTCATTCTCGGCTTTAGACTATTTCCGAACAATAGTGTATTGTTTTATTAGGAGTAAAAATTATACTTTTTTTGACGATGCTGTACCTTTGAAGGACCATCGTAAAGCTATTCCGATGTTACAGGGAGGCACAAAAAGTACATTTTTACTCCAAATAGAACATACTATTTCTTTTAAAACATTACAAATTATTTTTTAATAAATTTCAAACATTGCAATTAATATGAACAGTAATCGAGCAACAATTTATACACTCGTTGAATTTGACACTTAATATCAGTTTAATAATATATTTTTGTACTTTTGTGCTTAGGCGTTACAGTGCTTTACTTTTATGCCTAGGCGTTAAAATAACAAAAGTTAACATTTTTGAGATGTTTAAAAAAAATCCGAGCGACTTTTTTTGCGGAATATATTGGTGACCGATGTGGAAAAATGACACGCGCCGTAGAACTGTTAATGTTATTGGTATCGGGCGGGAGTTATAAAGATTTAGCCATTTAGGATAGGACTTTAATTGGTACCAAAGAATATTATAGTTTTAAGAACTCTCGTGTGGAAGCTTTAGTGATTTGTCATATGGTGGCGCTTTTGAACATAATCGAAGCCTGAAAATGCTAATATTTTAAATTTTGAGGACTACGCGCGGCGATATTTCGTACGGTGTTGCCAAACATATTTTATTTCTCGATATTTAAAGAAAGTTCAACACGTATTGATTATATATTTCGTATATTCGATAGTACATGAGGCATCCTAAGGCTATGAAAAAAAAACGTAGCTATGAAAATAAAATTTTAGATTTTTAATTTTTTTGTACCTTCTAATAAAAATTACTTCTATTCCAATAAAAAATTAACTAGTATGATTATGTGTTATCTGTGTTAGTATTAGGAAACTGGAGTAAATACGGAGAATATTAATTCGTTCTCTAAGATGAGCACTACTAAGTAACTTTTTAAAATTCGACCCATAAGGGGGTGTTATTAGATAAAGGGACGTAATTATACATAAAAAATCTGTACCTACTAGGAGTATGAACTTTTGCACAGATGTGGCGCATTTGAACATTGATAAGCGATTTTTGGAAATGTATAGCCTAAGGGTAGTGAAACTGGGGGGTGAAATTTTGTACAAAAAGTGTTAGTTCTAGGAGTATGAAATTTTGTACAGAGTTTCCTTAAGTGACGAAAGTGAGTACCTAGAAGCTAATTTTGACATTCATCCCTTAGAAATAAGGGATGAAAATTTGTACAAAAGGTTAAAATCGGTTTTAGAAGTATGAATTTTGCAGACGTTCCTTATGTAACGTAATTTAGCACTAAGAAGCAATTTTTGGAAATTCGCCCTCTAAGGGTGTGAAATGAGGGGTTGAACGTTCTGGAACAATAAATTCTGTTCAAGGAATATGAGAATTTGCACAGAGGTTCCTTATGTAGCGTAATTGAATAATTAGAGTGATTTTTGGAATTCATTCCTTAAGGGGGTAAAACTAGGGGTGAAAATTTGTATAATTTTTTATGTAAAATCCGTTCTAGGACTAGGAGTATGAAATTCTGTTCAGAGGTCCCTTAAATGATGAAAGTGAGTACCTAGAAGCGAATTTTAGGCATGCATCCCCTAAAAAATAAGGGATGAAGATTTGTACAAAAATTTGTTAAAATCGGTTTTAGAAGTATGAATTTTGCAGACGTTCCTTATGTAACGTAATTTAGCACTAAGAAGCAATTTTTGGAAATTCGCCCTCTAAGGGTGTGAAATGAGGGGTTGAACGTTCTGAAACAATAAATTCTGTTCAAGGAATATGAGAATTTGCACAGAGGTTCCTTATGTAGCGTAATTGAATAATTAGAGTGATTTTGGAATTCATTCCTTAAGGGTAAAACTAAGGGTAAAAATTTGTATAATTTTTATGTAAAATCCGTTCTAGGACTAGGAGAGTATGCAATTTTGTACAGAGGTCCCTTAAGTGATGAAAGTGTGTACCCAGAAGAAAATTTTGGACATGCACCCCCTAAAAAATAAACACTCCCTATAAAACAATTAAAATAAAAAATTTGTCTAAAAAATAAAAAAAAAAGTTGGGGTGGGCCACTCTTATCACTTAGGGGTATAAAAAATAGATAACAACCTAGGAATAGGTTGTGACCAAACCAAACCAAACCAGACCTACTGAATATACATATAAAATTTTATCAAAATCGGTTTCGGAGATGGTAACAAAAAATTAAAAAAAAAACAACCCCTATTAAAATATAGGGGATGATGGTGGAACGGTGAAAATTTATGGTTATTTGTATTTATTAATGCCAACTAAAAAAATAAAAACATTTTTTCTTTTCAAAAAATAAAAAATGAGGGTGGGCTACCCTTACCACATAAGGGTATAAAAAATAGATAACAACCTATTCTTAGACGTACTGAATATACATATAAAATTTTATCAAAATCGGTCAAAGCCGTTTCACGGTGAACGGTGAAAATTTTGGGTTCTTTGTATTTTTTAATGCAAAATAAAAAAATAAAAATATATATTTTTTCAAAATATAAAAAAATGGGAATGGGCTACCCTTATCACTTAAGGGTATAAAAAATAGATCACAAACTATTTTCAGACCTACTCAATATACATAATAAAATTTCATCAAAATCGGCAAAACCGTTTCGGAAATGGTAACAAGAAACTTTAAAAAAAAAACCCTATTAAAAAATAGGGGATGATGGTAGAACGGTGAAAATTTAGAGTTGTTTGTATTTTTAAGGCCAAATAAAAAAAATTATTTTTTTTTCCAAAAATAAAAAAATGAGGGTAGGCTACCCTATCGGCTACCCTTATCACTTAAGGGTATAAGAATAGATAACAACTTATTCTTAGACGTACTGAATATACATACATATAAAATTTTATCAAAATCGGTCAATCGGAGATGGTAACAAAAAACTTGAAAAAACAACCCCTATTAAAAAATAGGGGATGATGGTAGAACGGTGAAAATTTAGGGTTGTTTGTATTTTTTAATGCCAAATAAAAAAAATTAAAATAATTTTTTTTTCAAAAAATAAAAATGGGGTGGGCTACCCTTACCACTTAAGGGTATAAAAAATAGATAACAAACTATTTTCAGACCTATACAATATACATAATAAAATGTCATCAAAATCGGCCAAGCCGTTTCGGAGATGGTATCAAAAAACAACCCCTATTAGAAAATAGGGGATGATGGTAGAACAGTGAAAATTTAGAGTTGTTTGTATTTTTAAGGCCAAATAAAAAATAGTTTTTTTTTTCCAAAAATAAAAAATGAGGGTGGGCTACCCTTATCACTTAAGGGTATAAAAATATATAACAACCTATTTTCAGACCTACTCAATATACTTATAAAATTTCATCAAAATCGGCCAAGCCGTTTCGGAGATGGTATCAAAAAAACTACCCCTATTAGAAAATAGGGGATGATGGTAAAACGGTGAAAATTTAGAGTTGTTTGTATTTTTAAGACCAAAAAAAAAAATTTTTTTTTTTTTCCAAAATAAAAAATGAGGGTGGGCTACCCTCTCGGCTACCCTTATCACTTAAGGGTATAAGAATAGATAACAACCTATTCTTAGACGTACTGAATATACATATAAAATTTTATCAAAATCGGTTAAGCCGTTTCGGAGATGGTAACAAAATCTTAAAAAACAAGCCCTGTTAAAAAATAGGGGGATGATGGTAGAACGGTGAAAATGTAGGGTTGTTTGTATTTTTAATGACAAATAAAAAAAAATTAAAATATTTTTTTTTTTCAAAAATAAAAAAATGGGGTGGGCTACCCTTATCACTTAAGGGTATAAAAACTGATAACAACGTATTCTCAGATCTACTGAATATACATATAAAATTTCATCAAAATCGATCAAGCCGTTTCGGAGATGGTAACAAAAAATTAAAAAAAAAACATCCCCTATTAAAAAATAGGGGATGATGGTAGAACGGTGAAAACTTAGGGTTGTTTGTATTTCTTAATGCCAAATAAAAAAATAAAAAACATTTTTTTTCTTTCAAAAACTAAAAAAAAATGAGGGTGGGTTACCCTCTCGGCTACCCTTATCAGTTAAGGGTATAAAAATAGATAACAACTTATTCTTAAACGTACTGAATATACATATAAAATTTTATCAAAATCGGTTAAGCCGTTTCGGAGATGGTAACAAAAATTAAAAAAAACAACCCTATTAAAAAATAGGGGATGAAAGTAGAACGGTGAAAATTTAGTGTTGTTTGTATTTTTTAATGCCAAATAAAAAAAAATTAAAATATTGTTTTTTCACAAAATAAAAAAATGGGGGTGGACTACCCTTATCATTTAAGGGTATAAAAAATTTATAACTACCTATTCTCATACCCACTGAATATACATATAAAATTTCATCAAAATCGGTTAAGCCGTTTCGGAGGAGTACGGTAACCAAAACTGTAACACGGGAATTATATAAGATTAATAGGTTCTCATACACCAGCGTTCTTTCCTGTAATTCTTTCCTTATGCGTTCTTTCTTGTCAAAAAATTGAAAGGAAAGAACGAAGGTCCAATCCCACTAACACAAACGCAATCTTGTTAAATTTCCTGTCAGTTTTTACTGTAAGACTGGCCTGTTCTTTTTGAAGGAGTTATATTCCTTGCAAAGCCCACTTACACAAAATACCTTTCGTTGCAGTTTTTAAAGGATTTAGTTTGTTGTACTGTAAATGTGACACGATTATTAAAATTTTCCCGCTAGATGATCATTTTACTAAGGATCGTGAGATTTGACTTTTATAAAATTTGTGTTGTGCAATACAAGTAAACAAGTGGTGTGCTTTGAATAATAAAATTATGTTTATTTTTATTATTATTAAACTATTAATATTAAGATGAAACCTAAAAGAATAATTGCAATTGCTGTATTTGGTATTGCAACTGAAGTTTTGTTTAAGAAAAAGCAGAAACGCCGCATGTGGTCAAAGAAGTGGCTTCAGAAACGGAAAATGTACAGCAATATGAATCTGTTACGAGAATTACGGACAAGTGAGCCTACCGATTTCCAAAATTATTTAAGAAAGGATCCATTCTTAATAATAACATTTGATGAACTGTTAAAATTAGTTAGTCCATACATACAAAAATTCATCGTAATTAATTCGTAAAACACTAACTAGCTAATAAATATCTAAGACTTAAAAAAACTACCTGGCGTTTTAACAACAGACTTTCCTAACAGGAGAGAACACACGGATATCATCTCTCAAATGAAATGACCCCAAACCACTAATACAAATTTTTTACACGTTTTATCTTGTCGGGCTGGAACGCCAGTAGATCCTGACAAGAAAGACGGAAGGTGCATGTGTCGTGCATATACCCACTAACTGGCGTTCTTTCCAGCGGGATTAGACATTCCTGCAGGAAAGAACGCTGGTGTATGGGTACCTAATATTATATGTAAACTGCGGAGTGCGGAGAACGGAAAGACTGATTATAGCAATAGATAAAATTTAAAACTATAATTTAAAACTATTCAAGAAAGTACACACAAAACAAGGCAACGCCGCGCGTCTATTCGTTCAATTCCGAGCAAAATAGCGAGGCTCCACGAAGTTGGGGCCTCGCTCGCCAAAGCGAGGCCCCATCGACAGGTCAGATTTTGATGCCAGACGAGACTTCTAGGGTATTAAGATATTCTTTGTTGGTACTAAGTCCTAGTCATTTGGAAATCCAATTTATATATTGTTTTTAATTAAAATAAAAAAAATCTGATTTAAATAAAAAAAAATCCGATTTAAATAAAAAAAAACTGATTTAAATAAAAAAAATCCGATTTTTTTTTAATCATGATTTTTTCCAACCCTGATTTTCAAGTTAGCATTTATATACGTAGATGTATAAAATGAGATTATATCGAGTCTGGAAATTACAATATTTTCGTTTAACATTTCAAAATCAAAACTTCATAATTCGGAAATTGTTGAACTTACGTACATTATGTGTATTATGATTTTTGCTTAAAATTGGAGGAAGAACCGAAATATGGCAATAATATAGGGGAGGTACCATTTAAAAAAATGAGACTTTGATGTGCCACGACTTTATGACCGACCCTGTATACTTAAGTTTATTATCCGCTAATAGATATTTAAAAACCCTATAACTTTTATATTTAACTTTTTGCGGTACCTCTTAAATTTTACCTAATAATCGATATATTCATATACAAATCAGCGACCCTGTATAAATGCAATGGTATCCCGGAAAACAAAATATCTCTACATATAAATTTAAGAAAAAAACAAAAACGATTTTACAAAATTCAGAAAAAATAGTGGAAAATAGTTACCTGTAAAATGTTGTCTTTAAATTCTTCGGCAATATCAAAAAAATATTCGGCATATCCTTTTGGAATGGGCTTGTAGCTACTTTTTGGGCCACGAATAATGAAGTCCTTCATCCTTCCAAACCAAACCAAACTGTTGTATATTAATATTTAAAAAATCAGAAACAAGCTATTTAAACAAAATGATAAATCGATTAAGTAGCGTACTTATTATAAATGAAGAGAGAGAGAGAGAGGTTAAGATAATTATTATAACCTCATTGGTGGCTTAATATGTGATTTGTAAATATATGTAGTTTGGTGCATATTAGAATTTCTTTAGAGCAAATTTTTCGCATATTTAATGCTCTCTGCTATTTTTAAAAGTATTTTTAGTATTTTCTCAAACAAGTTTTAGATAAAATGTTACTACAGTACGTTCATAATCGTATGGTTTTGTTACGGATAGGTCCTTACCTTAAACGATAAAAAAAACTGCAACTAAAATTCATTATACAGGACGGGACGCTCCGAATAACTGTATTCCGGAAACTTTGGCAGTATATTCTGCAGATAAAAATAAGTAAAAAAGTTCGTATAAATGTATGTCCTAAAATACTTAGTTTCTGAGATACAGGGTGTAGAAGTTTCATTTTTATTTCGATTTTATCCAAATATTTTATGAAGTAACGTCAATATTTGGATGAAAACTGGTGTCTTGGAGTTTTTGACAATTTGAAAAATATGATTTTGAAGTCAATATGACTCCTGTTTGTAGGAGGCGCCACAAAATATACATTTACGACGTTTTTTATGTAAAAAAGGTCTTTTGGTAAAAATCGCTACGAGTAATGTTGTGTATTTTCTCAAACCAGTTTTAGATGAAATGTTACTACAGTACGTTCATATCGTATGGTTTTGTTACGGATATGTATACATAAAATAATTAACTAGAAAGAAGTGTCAACTCTGTGTTAAATCGTGGAAACACGATACGCCACCGAAAGCCTTCGTTGTCGTCTGGAGAACTAATTTTCCAATTGACAGGTTGACATGATGGCTTCGTATTTATTTCCGTTTCCGGTTATTTAATGGCGGACCCTCTTTCAGTTTAAATGTATTTTGTACTCTTTCTTATCATAAATAAAACAAAACAAAATTTTATTCAAACATATTTATTTGAAATATGAGACAACGTGACTAAATATATATAAAAAATAAAGAATTGAATGATTTCAACAGCAATTACTTAATTATATGCAATTTTAACGTAAATTAATAAGGTATAAGCATGACTTACAGTAATTTGTAAATAAATACACGTATTCACAGCCATCAGAGACAGAAAACGGGGGCAGGCATGAAAACGGGAGCCTTATACAAAAACCTGAAAATAGAAAAACAATTTTTTTATACTAAAATTAACAATGTAAAAATATCAATAGGTATAAAATACAAATATACTGTTTTAAAAAAGCGTCCATTATTCTCAAAGAGACCTGGTTTATAAATCAAAAAGAAGCAAAAAGAGACTTTTAGTCGGATAACAATCGTATTGTATCAGTCAGATTTATTGCATTATTGACAATAAATCGCACATACTGGAGATAACTAATGTTGACTATAGTTAAAAATGATTTAAAAATGATCTTACCTTGCTGTAAATTGTTTCCATTTTCAAAAAAAATCGCCGATCATAAACATAACAAAATTTTCTTGCATCTAAAAAATACAGAAATAGTGTTTATTTACTACCTATTTTTAATATACATGGGACATACCTAGTACTGCAGAAACGTCTTTTTCTCCAGGATTTTTCATGTAATATATATTTTATATGCTTTATTACCTTTACATTTATAAATTTCTGCCGAAATATCAAATTGAATTTACAAAACAAAACTAAACGGAGAGAATTAAAATGGCGTCGAAATTTATTCTAGAACAAATCTGAAGTTGTCTCTGAAATATGTCAATTCTAAACTGTGAAGTTAGACAATAGTTAGAGAGAAACATTGCTGTCCTTGTCTAGGCGGCCATACTTGTCGTCAGGAGATGACAGGAATGACACTAATGACTGTTTCCAATCTTCCTATTTCACTGTCACCCCCCTGTATGTATATACGTAATGTTTCTTGAGATATCAATACCTGTCATAATTGACATAAATTAAACATGTTGACTAAATAGTTATTAGACTAAAACCATAAACTTGAAATGTTTTTGTGTCAAAAGTTCAATAGAAACGGTTTTATTGTCATTTTTTCGCAGAAAAATTTATGATTAATTTAAAAAAATTAAAATTTCCGAAACTTATTATTTCTATCTACTCAACGTATTTATTTTTTTGCCAATAATGACATGTATTGACTATTTCCATTCTAAATATCTTGAGAACGGTTGATCGTAGCGATTTTTACCAAGATAAATTTCTTACGTAGAAAGTCACGAAAATGTATATTTTTTACATTTCAGTAGTCTTATACAGGTACGAACAAAAAAAGTTATTACTCTTCAAAACAGTTGAAACAGATGTAGGTGGCGCCCTACAAATAGGGGTCATATTGACATCAAAATCAAATTTAAAAAATTTCCAAACACCAATTTTCATTCATATGGGGGTGAACAAAAAACCCGTGCACTATGGACGTACACTAACACTCGGTATTACCAGTAGGAAGAGAGATTTGTAATTTCGGATGTAATACGCGATACTTTACGCCCAATTAGAGGTGGGAACTCTAGTTCATTGGGAGGGACTAGTTCTTTAGTCTTTAGATCACAATAGTTCCCGACTAACATTGATATCCCCGTTGCTTGCTAATGGGTTTCGTTGTCGGTCAGAACTATTCACAGTATGATTTGTATAATTTTTATAATGTACGAAATATAACGAGACGTGTAACTTAAAAACATACGGGGTATGTTATATTGCAGATAAAAAAAATACTTTCAAGCTTTTTGTTTTGTCTAAAAATTCAGAATATCTACTTCGTTTTATAAGATAATTCTTAATTTTAGGGACCTAAAGTAAAATATTCTCATAAAATATTCAAAAAAAAATCAAAAACTGTACGACAATTTTCTGTGGTAATTACTACGGCTCTATGACAATAGACAATGCTGAATCCATCGTCGGTGCCTTGCATTATATCTCGGATCTGCCGACTGAATAGATTCCCGTGAACTAGTCTTTTAATTAGTTCCTCTAGTTCCTTTCGGTGCGGGACAGGTAACATACGGCTGGCACTCTCCACTCCCGCCTATCATCGGGCTACGATCGCGCTGGCCGATCCGTACGTATACCTACTAGTCTTTTATTTAGTTCCTCTAGTTCCTTTACGTCCGGATCCGACAACATAAGGCTGACACTCCTCACTCCCGCCTAGCATCGGTATACGATCGCACTAGCCAATCTGTACGTTAACTAGTCTGTTATTTAGTTCCTCTTTCCTCTAGGTCCGGATCCGAAAACGTACGGCTGGCACTCCCCACTCCTGCCTTGCATCGGGTTACGATTGCGCTGGCCGATCCGTCGCCGTCGTATATTATTATAAAGCGGTCACAGTCTCGATTCCGGAATAGGTCCAGAGGAACTAGTTCTTTAAGAAACAGGGAACTAGTTCCTTTCATTCCGGGGTCGGAATAGTTCGTTGGAACCACTTCGTTCGCGAACCACACACCTCTACGCCCAATGTCCCATGTTTTCCATTACAGTCAGGCGTTAGTTTTAGGGTATATTCCGTTGCTTACCTTGGTTATGGTTTTATGTTCCGTTTCTATAGGTTTCTTGAAAGTTTTCTTATTACGGAACACGGTTCCTGAAAAATTCTGTTATAACTGTCACCAAACTAACCAGCGCGAGAAGGCTGGTTTTTCTGGTTTTGTTTGTCAATCAATATCATTTATGTGACAGAAATCAAGCAAATAGAGTGAAATTCTCATTTAATTTCTAAAATTTGTAATAATATCTTGTATTTACATCCAAAAGCAATGGAGGTAGGCAGTAAAGGTAAATAAATTTCATTAACTAAATAGAATTACTTTTTAAATAGAATTACATTTAAACGGCTTCGGTGAACTATCCTGACACAATTTTTCTTAAAAAATGAAGTTTATGTTACCTTAAAATGAACTTCTTGAATTCTTTGACTAAAATCTGATGAGGAAAAACACGTTTCACATAAAAAATATTCTTAAAAATGTTGTTATTTGGTTTTTATAGCAAATTCCAGGGCAAATTCCATAACCGATAATGAAAGACTCGCGGACTTGTTTATATCCTTTCTATGTTTACGCTGACAGTAGTGAAGGTCGAATTTTGACAAATATTGCGAATTGATATATGGTTTTCAGATCAGCTAGTAAATTATCCGGAATTGCATGCATCTTTTTTGTTTAGGGAAAAAAATTACGTCATAGGTTTTAATTTTTTTTAATACGAATTAGATTACTTTAGTTTATCAAATTGCAAGAAAGCAATGAAAACACGCTGTAAGCTGGAAGCCATCAAAGCAAGGAAAACACGCTGTAAGCGTGTTTTCATTTCTTTGGTTTGTGTTTGGCTCGGATTGAGTTGGTTTGGTATTGGTCGGTTTGGTTTTGTATTGGTTAGTTTTGTATTGGTTGGTTTTGTATTGGTTGGTTTTGTATGGGTTGGTTAGACTTTGGTCGGGTTGGTTTGGGTTGATTTGGCTGTTTTTTTTTCTTTTTATCTGTTTGATTGATATTTTGGTTTACAAGAGCGAAACAAAAGCCACCAAGGTTGGTTTTGATTGCTTTTGTTTCACTCTTCTGTTGTTTTTTTTTAGTTTTCCCATTCACACATTAACAACGCAGTTTTATTATTAAAAATGGCTATTTTTTCAAAATAAAAATAAAAAACAGAAAAAGAAAATTCAGTGAAACTAGCAACATGGCTTTTCCTTTTGTCGCTGTCACGTTAAATCAAGTGTTAAAATTCTCCATAACGTCAAATATGTGTCAAAAACTACGAAAATTAAATTAAAATATTTTAAAATTCTGTGCATAATCTCCATTTATTTTTGTTTAAAACTAAATAAACATGGTTACTTTTTGATAAAAAAAAAGAAAAATGCAAAAATCGTGTGTCAGGATAGTTCACCGGACCCCATTTAAACTTATCATGCAGCCATTGTTTCTTAATGTCAGGAATATTTAAAGGAAACTTGAAAAACAAGACAAGTAATCGTGAATGTTTTGTAATTTATAAAAATATAAATATTGATTAGATTTTTCTATTTATTATTGATCTGTTTTAATATTGAACCTGCAAATCTTCACTTGAGCTGTTTAACGATTTTAACAATTTATTAATAAAGTACTTTTCAATATTAAACTCCATTGAAAAGAAGAAGCAAACGTAAAAGCAGATAATAGGTACATTAAAAACGCATAAAAGATAAATTATAACAGAGGTATTGAAATTTAGAAAACGTCAACATTTGACGTTTCCAGTATTTTACCAAAACGTTCCGTATCAAACCGATGTTATTCAGGAACCGCTCTTTACCGTAGTTTACCGGTCTGGTTGGCCAGGTTTTGCAACGGAATACAGCCTTAATGGTTTTATAAAAGTGGCATTTCTTAACAGCATGATTCAGTTATTTTTGACTGATTGCAATTTATTTATGCATAATAACAATTTTTGTGCCTTACATTGTCTTTATTTATTTTGATTAACACTCATATCTAAAATTATATCGATGTTCGTTTCCAAGCTAACTGCTATTTGTTTGCGATGTAAGTTATATTACAGGTTATGCCTTGGGTAAGACAATAAAGCAATTTAATATGCAGGATAATATTGTATTTTATTTCCTATAATTTTATAAACGTTAATAAAAAAGGATGCAAGATTTTAGAAGGTATTTTACAAAAACGTGTCAATACTTCTGTAGAAAAAAAGTTAATTTTCATCTCTCCTATACCGGGTCCGTTTGAAAAGTGGCTCAACCCTACAACTTTATTATAAAAACGATTTGGGCATCTTTTAATCGGCCAGGATAAGTCACGAAAAACATCAGATGATCAAATCTATTTTTCCAAGACTCCTTGATTATAAATTAGTGTTTTTATGGCACTCTAAATTGAAATTTTAAATACGATTTTTTTGTAAGCAAAAATTTTAAAAATTGACATATATGTCATTCTATGCAGAGTGTCATTTCATATTGAGTAAAGTAAAAATATACCAAAGGTGCCGTTTAATTATCAAAAGTTATAGTCGTTTTTGGTGAAACAAGAAGTGACAAAAAGCAATTATATACGCCAATCAATCCTAATTTATGTCATATACTAACATACCAATTTTCGTTTTTTTTTATCTGAAAAAAATAAAAAAGTTATAGAGGTGAGCCGCTTTTGTGAATCACTTTGCATAATAAATAATAAATAATTATACACGAGGATCTGGATTTTTTCCAAAAAAATCTTTCAGAATCCTTCTCTGAACTTTTCCCGATGGTGTTCTTGGAATGCTATTCACAATTATCACTCCTCCTCTCAACCTGTGAGAATCTGTCAAGTGTTGATCAGTAAAATCAATCAGTTCCTTCGCCTCCAAGCTCTGATCGGGCTTCAAAACTACCAGAGCAGCAGGATGGTTGTCATCGACGCGATGCGGAATATCAAACGCCGCAGCTTCTTCAACAGCCGGATGGGATAACAGGGTATTCTCTATGATGGATGGAGTCACTTGGCCGTTTTGGTACTTGAATATTTCTTTTATGCGATCTGTTACGTAGATATAGTGGTCGTCGTCGTAATAACCTAGATCGCCCATTTTTATGAAACCGTCTTCATCGAATATATCCGTTTTATCCAAGTGGTGGTAGCCAGATGTCACGTAGGGTGACTTTATTCTAATCTCACCCTCTTGATTTGGTCCTAAAGGTTTCCCTGTCTCCAAATCAGCAATCTGTAACAAAATACAGGGTAGGAAGATCAATTTTGTCGTTGTTGACAAAGACATGTTGTATACAGGGTATTTCAAAAAACATGAGCCATCTCTCGTGAGGAGATTCCTCACGTAAAAATATGATTTATTTTTCATATAAACATAGGTCCGATTCTGCTTCGTAGCTTCAGAGTGTTTAAGTCTTAATAATCTTTCGATTTATTATAATTTTTTTCCTAGTACTTTTCGTGATTCGAATGAAATTTTGAAGGTAAAAGTTACTATAAGTGCTACATATTGCTAAAAATGCTAAAAATGCTAAAAAAGTGTCTATAAATTTATGAGGGACACGCATATGGGTTATCACTGGAATGGTTAAAAAAATATATGCCCCACTGAGATTTTTTTTATTTTGATATCAAAATTATGTAGGCCTTTTAATGCCAATTAAAAGTTATCTCTTGATATTTTGTCGGATTCGGCCTCCTTGATGAGATAAACGCAATTTTATTAATCACAATTAATAAAATTTAAATAAAAATAAATTTAATAAAATACATATTTTACCTAATTTACTATTAAATATTACTACTATTAATTATTATTACTAATAGGGTCCAACCTACAGCAATTTCAAATAAAAAAATAATGGTATTTAAGATAATTACAAAAAACCTAATTTTAAAAAGTTCTGAACATCCTGTAACTCTAAACCTATGCATTACTATACCCATGTTTATAGGAACTTTTATTCATATTTTTTGGTGAGAAATCAGTGAGTAGTTATTTAAAACTTTTGCAAATGAATGATATTAAATTCTTTTGCTATATAAGGTTGCTATTAGACTTCAATCAAGGCAAATTAATAAAATTGCGTTTATCTCATCAAGGAGGGCGAAATCGACAAAATATCAGGAGACAACTTTTAATTGACATTAAACTGCTTACAGTATTTCGCTGAGAAAAAGAGAAAAACGTCAATGGCGTACATGCTTTTTTAGAAAAATATTCCATTGATAATCCATATGCACGTCCCTGATGAATATGTCGACACTTTCTCAGCTTTAAAATATGTCGCATTTAGGGGAAGCCCGGGCAAAGTGAACACCCCGGGCAAAGCGAATATCCCCCACTACTCTCAAACTATTCGTTTGGCATCAATCACGTGACATAGCAACGCTCGTCTGTCTTTGCTCAATACGCGGCAAACACCTAAGTGGGAGAGCAGGCCATGCGGCGTCCGCAGAACGGCAAACTGTGTTTTCGAAAAATAATTTCGAGGTAAGTATTTTGATGATATTTTCTATATTATTTGTTTATTACTATTGGGCGTATTACAGTTCTATTACGTGTCAAAGAGCTTTATTATAATATATCGAACGGAGAATTGAAATCAATAGTTTTCTTATGAATTGACTTAACCTTAAAAATGGTTGTGCTGGGCAAAGTGAATAGGGCAAAGCGGATATGGTATCCACTTTGCCCGGTTTTTATGATTATTTAGTTTCGGTATTACAAAGCTCATATTTTGTTGCAGATGGTGCATAAATATGAAAAAAGACTAATCAAGGCTCTTGGGATAAAGATGTTATGCGGACGGCTATAAATTTATGCAAAGCCGGAGAATCGGTGAAGGGCACAGCTAAGAAATATGGTATGGCTTATGCGACTTTGTACAGACACGTCAAAAGTGGTAACGTTACTCCAAAACTCGGCAGATTCCGCCCAGTTTTCAGCAAAGATCAGAAATAGAGTTAAGGACCTATCTCAAAGACATGGATTCCGTGTTTTTTGGATTAACTCGAGATGAGTTTAAGAATTTAACATATACTTACGCCAAAAAAAATAATTTGAATTATCCAAAAAGTTGGGACAAGTATGAAAAAGCCGGAGATGATTGGCTACAATCATTTTTGTCAAGTCAAAATGCCATTACTCTCAGGACTCCGGAGGCAACATCGGTTGCAAGAGCGAAAGGATTCAACAGACTTTAAGTCGGACGTTTCTATGATAATCTTGAATATTTGATTGACAAATACAATATTGACGCATCTAGATTTTATTTATAAAATGGACGAAACCGGTATTTCGACGACAACTAACAAACCCCCTAAAGTACCATCAATAAAAGGAAAGAAACAGGTAGGCATAATTGCAAGTGCGGAGCGTGGCCAATTAACGACAATGATCGGTTGTTGCAATGCCACTGGTTCATTTTTACCGCCCTTCCTTATTTTCGCCAGAAAGAAGATGCAGTCTAGGCTACTCGACGGTGCTCCTCCCGGGACTCAAGGTACTTGTACACCAAATGGTTGGACTTCAGGTGAGGTATTTCTTGCTTGGTTGCATTTCTTTGTAGAATATACACGACCTAACGCCGACAAAAAGGTACTTTTACTTTTGGACAACCATGAGAGCCACAAATACTATCCTGCATTGGAATATGCAAGTAAGAATAATGTCATAATTTTATCCCTGGCCCCGCATACTACTCATAAAATGCAGCCTATGGATGTGGCCGTTTACGGCCCACTAAAAACCTACTTTGAAAGAGAGGTTAATATGTTCCAAAAGGCTCATCCTGGGCGCATTATAAATCAATACGACGTAGCCAGACTGTTATCACCAGCCTTTCTGAAAAGTTCAGTAGCCATAAATGCAGTTCATGGATTTGAACGGCCTGGCATTTGGCCAGTAAACAAACACGTTTTTGGTGAAGAACACTTTGAACCAGCGGATGTGATTGCAGGCAGATCAGATATGAATATTAGCCGAGTAAGCATACATTCCTTACAAACAATAGAAATTCCTGATACCGCTGCAGAAGCCTCATCAACTCCTTTGCCCTCACATTTACAAGAAAAGATTTTAACAGTTGATCCTCCAGGAGAAATGATTCCGCTTTCAGACAAACCCACAAAGAGCGACTCATCTAAGCCTCAACTTCAAGAAAGGACCCCAGAAAAAAATAATGTTCAGAGTGACATTGCCATTACACTAGAACCAGGAACAGAGTCACTTAAAGTTTCTTCTACTTTGGAACCGAATGCGACAAGTATTCCTGTTGTACATTCTCTAAAAGGTGATGCAATGGTACCAGAGACTTCAAAAAATATTCGCAGAAATAACGACCGTGACGACCCTCCACCGAATCCGGAACCTGGATGTTCAAACTTGCACCAGAGTCCCATATCATTAAGACCAATACCAAATCCTTATAAACCACTGACAACTCGTAAACGCAAATTTCAAAAATCAGAAGTTTTAACTAGTACTCCTATCAAATAAGAGCAAAAGCAAAAATTTGAAAAAAATAAAGTAAAGAATATTACTAAAAAACTAAATGTAGAATTAAACAAATTTCATAGAAAGACTGCTAAAAACCCTGTTAAAAAAGGTAAACAACCAAAGAAAATTAGGAAATTTGAAGATATTGTATGTTTTTTTTTGCGGTGAAATATATATTGAAGAAGATGATTTTCCAATTGAAGATTGGATTCGCTGTGGTCGGTATTTCCAATGGTGTTACGAAGAATGTTCCGCTTTCGAAGGCATAGGAGATTATATTTGTGATAACTGTCAGTCTTAATTTTTAAGATATTTCATTTAAATGCGAATTTAAGATTTTGTTCAGTTTATTGATTTTGTTTTATTAATTTTTTCTGTAATTAGATGAAGGTATTCACTTTGCCCGAACACCTTATCCACTTTATCCGGGGGTCCGGGCAAAGTCAATATTATCACACTTTTTTTTAATTTTGTTTATGTTTACTAAATACTCTACTTATAAAGTTAAATAATTATAATATATATAAAAGCAATTAATAAAGAATTATTTCAGATATTTGTTTTGTTTCTATCTCTTACACCTTTTCTGATAAAAGAGTGAACATCTTAAGCTATTCACTTTGCCCGGACTTCCCCTATACACAGTAACTTTTACCACTGTGCTTTTACCCTCAAAATTTCCTTTGAAACGCTAAAAGCACTTGGAAAAAAATTATAATAAATCGAAAAAATATTAAGACTTTAACGCCCTGTAGCTACAAAACAAAGCAGAATCGGACATATATTGATATGAAAAATAAATCTTATTTTTACTTGAGGAATCTCCCCACGAGAGGTGGCACATGTTTTTTCAAACACCCTGTATAGATGTTGTAGAGGTTGAAGATTGAACGAGTATTATTTTTATATATTATGAATCGTGAGATTCGAATCACTGCTTGTATTTTATTCAACCTGTTCTGCAACCTCGGAACTTATTGTCAGTAAAGAAACTTTATTCATTATTTTATGATTTCATATGTTCTTGTATCTACTTACTTTTAACTGAACATCAGCTAGCAATTTTCCTGAAGATCCAATCTTTGTTTCGTAAGCTTCTCGGTTTTTGAAGTCAAAGCAACTGATAAAAATGGTTTCGGTCGATCCGTATCCCATGGAAACCTTGGTGTGAGGCAGCAGTCTTCTGAGTTTCGACATCTGAGATGGGTTTACCGGAGCTCCACCGATTAATAGAGAATACAAAGAGGAAGTGTCATACTTGTCAATTGTTTCCTGACTTAAGGAGGTTATGCTGTGAGTGAAGTTGTTGGACATAAAGGTATAAGTTATCTAAAATATAATAGATATTTACGATTTACGATACAAGTGAGTTAACAGCATCATTAAGATACGCGTGTGAAAGTTACACATAAGTTAACACAAGTTAACTCGCGTGTATTCTACAATATTTTATCTACGTCTAACCAAAGAGTAGATAAGACAGGAGACGACAGTTCGCGCGGTACTTCTCATGTTGAGTGGTGGGGAGAGTGACCTCGTCTCGCTTGTCCCTTTAAATTTTCGTAATTTTTTCGCGGGAAATTTGAAATAGACTATTATTAAAACTTGCCTGTATAGCTTATAAATAGTTACTGTATGGGTAAAGAAATAAATAGAAATGAAAAAAAAAATAAGTTTTCTAAATATTATATAAAATAAATTATAATTAGAAACATATTTGTCGGGGAAGTTATATGTATAAATAAGTGTTATTTCATTGTAATTAAATACTGAATGCCTATTTTACATTATGTCACATATAAAAGCGAACTGCACGGTTCGAAGCAGACTTTTCACTCTCTGTACTTTGTCGAGAACGTTTGTAACAATAAAATCGTTTTTTAAAAAACAACTCTATTAAGAACGTTTGTAATAAAATCGTTTTTTAAAAACAACTCTTGCTAATTCAGACTTCAAAACTGGCGCAGTCAGTGCAGGATTTCGTGTCTTCCTTTCAGGTGTATCACACATGCAGTTAGTAAAATCAGGAAGTGCGGTTTCAACCCCTTAAACACTTGAAATTCGAACAAAAAAGCAATGAAGTGAAGGACAGGATAAGTGCAATCGATCCGGATTAGCTGTATCTAAACCTGAACGAGCAAAGAAAGTTAATCCTAAAACCAATTCCGACGAAGAAAGCAGAGAGCGGAGTCCAGGGGAAAGGACAGGAAAGACTTCAAAAAGAAATAAGTGCCTGTCTCTTTTGTCTCTTTAAATTTTGGTATACCACCTCTGTCAAAGGAAATCAGTAGGGATAGTTATAGGAGCAGTCTATCGCTGAACATTAGATTAAGAAAACAAACCAAAGAAGTAAAAAAAATTCTTACTAGTAAAGTAACAAAAAAAGTTACCTAATTACTATATTTTATTAAGTAATAAACAATAATATAAAAAATAAAATAAAATTTACGCTCATAGATCGTAAAATGAAAAAACTAACACGTTCATGAGTGTAGACGAGTTAGCGAACAGACTATCAAATTTAACAGTAAAACTTAATACACAAAATAAATAAAATGAATGCGAGAACAAGTGCTTCAGGAAATGAAAAATATGCAGACTGTAAAATTGGGATATTTTTAAGTCAAAGATACAAAATATTAAGCCCACTGACCAGAGCAGTAATACATTAAATGCACATATATTTAAATGCAGATCACTTTTACTAAAATATTTGTCGGGGAATGATAATAAAAGCAATATTTTTGTATATCGTTGGTAAACAAGATAAAATGACGAAGTCACTTTTACTAAAATATGCTACCGGCGTACCAGACGAGGATTTTTAAACAGCATGTTTTGAGTGCGTACAGTCACAATGAGTGGGAAAAAGCCGAAATAATGATAGAAACAGATTGGGATTGAACAATTGGTCAAATATTGTGCCGCTTTAATACAATGTTTTCTCAGATAGACGTGACTTAAGATTGCTTAATAACAGAATTGACGAGAACGCGACCGTTTAAAACGAACATCTTTTAAGTTTTGGCGGCAGATTACAACTCTTAAAAAGTGCAACGTAATTCAAAGAGATCAGTAACGATACGTACCTAGCGCACCTCTAGAGAAAACGTGTCGTGATAAGCCACTGTGTGATAAGACCGCGTTAAATACATTTTATTGCAGGTTGCAGCGGAACTTTAAAAACAATCTTACATTAAAACCGACATCCTTAGGAAGATGCAATGGCGTGGCGTAAAATGAATTTGAAAATTTTGAGCGGTTTCTATTAAGCAGTTCTAACGAACAAAACAAGGTGTACAAAACACAAAATTTCCATCAAAAGCCAACACAACAAAATTTCCAAAATCAAAAATAATTTTTCTAACACAACAAATTTTCCACACAGCAATTCTAACTATCAAAGATAATAATAGACAACCAATTTAATAATCAAACATCGAATTTAATCCACCCAAATCAAGTATTTTAATCAGTTCAATCAAAATGTACCTAATACAAATTTTAACCAAAACAACCTTGGCCTTGTCACCCAACCAATACAACTGTCTAACTAAAATGTACCTAATACAACTCTTTAACCAAAAACAACCTTCATCTTTGTCAACCAATTAATATTACCTCCAGGAGAAATGCCTCCCAAGACGATATCCAACAAATGGGAAGTCTTTGGACCACCTATAAATGTCTTCGTGCCAAAGCTCCATTCCAATTCACACCAGCAAAACAAAACCAGACATGCATGTCACCACAACTGGCAATCAGATCTTTTTATCTTTGCTTTGAAGAAAAGGGATAGTCAAATCCAATCATATCAGAATAGACAGTATCCAATACCTTTCCCAATTTTCAACTGGACCACCAGATTTCACCTTCCAAAGGAATTATTTATCAATGATTACAGCGAAGATATGAAATAATTATGCGTGCCAAGACACAACTGTAAACGCATCCTATGAACAAAACTATAATTATACCGATTACGTAACAATTATGACAGATACGAAAACCAATATTCTGAAGAAGAATACCTGTTCATAGTTGGAAGAAAATTTCAACAGGAACCCGAATACGAGAAAAGCCGTTGAGGAACAAAAATCCTGCACACAGAGGGAAATTTTCGAAACCCAGCCAGAAAGGAAGGAAAAACATATTAGAAATAAGCATCTGTTCAAGTAACGTAGCTCTTCCGTATGTAGAAATAAAAACATCCTAAGTTAAAATTATTAATCGATACCGGAAGCCTCGCGCTCTCCATTTTAAAACCATCTATTGGCCAAAGAAACTTTTTTTTTCCCGAACTGTGGTCTATCAAACAACCAATATAATCAAAACAGCTATTGGTCAAGAAATCAACAAAAAATATCAAGCTGACCTCTCATTCCCCGGAATTTGGAAGTAATCATAAAATTCAAATTAATTTATTTTATTTGATTTCCAATGATTATTTCGGATAGAGTTATAGAGTTTAAAAGACTTAATAAATATGAACTTAAATATCGGTTTTAACTAATAAAAGATTAATAAACAATTTTGTCGAAATACCGTTCAAATATCGCCAACTGAGGAAAATAAATTTTTCTTTTTTCCATAAACCCCTCAATGAAAAACTAATAAAAAAGTCTAGCAGTTAATACTTTTCAAGGAGAAAATTATAACTCGACCAGAAGAAGAGTTTGATTACAATATCAAATACAAAAAGGCAAACAAAATCAAACCCAGCCGGATGCGTTATCAAGAATTACCAATAAAATCCAAAGGAGTTAAACTTAGCTTAGAGACAGAATCAATCGATAATAACCCAGGAGATATTGACAGAAGTAATCAGAAGAATTAATAAAAATGAGAGAAGTTTTACCTGATATAGAGAAGAAAAGAATTAGAAGAAATGTTAGGAATAAAACCTAAACCAAAAATAATTATCCACTCCAGATATACAAATAAGACCACCAAATCCTATAAAGAAAAAAAAGAATCAACTGATCTAGAAACACGTCATACCTCTCTAGAGAACCAATAATAGGTCCTCTATTTCAGAACGTTCTGTATTAAACACTCTTATAAAAATCAAAAGTAATATTCACCTACGGAGAGATCGATAATATAAAATGTAGACACGAACAAATATTCAAAAAATACTCGAATATATGTAACTATATCCACAACGCCGATCAACAGAAAACTTTATGTAAAATTCTCTCAAGGAATTTATTGACCCCAAACAAACCTATGCTATGTATCTTTTAAAGATCAATTAATAGTTAGAAATAGCTAGAAATCTTTATTATTACTTTACACAAAAATTATTTAAAAATACCTGCATTTAATTTTATTCAGGGTGTAGTAAGAGATTTCTAGAAACGATATCAAAACATTAACGAGTAACAAGAAAAACTTTGAAATGTACCACGACAAAGAAACTTGTCATCGCGATTTATCAGTAAGAATGAAAAACAGCTTTTAACATCAAAATTTTTACTGGCCAAAATGAGCGAAGATGTTGAAAACTACGTAAAACAATTGTGAGACTTGTCAGAAAAAATAAGTAAGGATCGAAATCCACCCATCATGGAAATTTAATTTAGCACCTGGCATATCTCGAAACCTTAGAACAAATCCATTATTGATACATTTAAAATATCAAATGAGAGCTTTTTAACAATTATAGATGCTTTTTCTAGATATGGACAAGCATATCATTTTAAACGTTTTGTAAGTCCCACGATAATCGAAAATCTATACACTTTTATAACCCATCACGGTTTACCTTTGAAAATAAGCAATCCGGATTGTGGAAACCGAGTTCAAAAAACAAAGTAGTAGATTTTTGTAAAACTCTATAAATTTGAGATACACCTATACAACACCGAAAAATTCAACACATCAAACTCACCTGCAGAGAGATTTCCTTATCATCTCTGATCGAGACATTATAGATGTACAAAAGTGATCATCCAAATCTTGAGTCCCAGATCAATTAATGGAAGCAGTCTATATTAGGATATAATAATTCCAGTTGTAGCGTAACAAAACAATAACCTTTGAAATAATTAAAGGGCATATAAATACTTACTGGACCCATTCGATTTAAAATGACGAAATAATAGTATCAAATTATATACAGCCCATTATATACAAAAACATAAAGAACAAGCTGAAGATCTTTGGCAGAAATATTCCAAAGTATAAACGCAAAGAACTAAAGAATTAATTATAACAAAACGACAGAATGAGAAAAAGACAAGATCCACCTGAATTCCTTAAATCCAGATGTAGTTTATATAAAAACGAAAAAGCTAGGGAGTGAAAAGATCAACCCTAAATTTAAA